ATTCATTGATGTTAAAACAATGTCGATAAAGCTTTTATCAAGATATTATAAAATCACGTCACATAATTGTGATTAGTCCAGTGTGTTAGATTAAAACATCTACAGTTAAATTGGCGGTAAGTTAACTGAAAAATTTAGAGAGTAGGAAGTTTTCAATTTTTCTTTGATTTTAAATGCAATGACTTGGAATAATGCATCTACTGGAATTTGCAGTCTAAAACTCAAATTTTAATATTACAGAAAATAAAAATTGAATAGCTAATTAGTAAATTTTTAATCGGCTTTATTGATAAAAGCTAAATGTGGAGCGAAAAGAGAAATCATGGTCATTTCCATTTTCAGACAAGGTTCAATTTTGATTGTCTGTACATACATTTTCAATAGTTCATCGCCTATATGTATTTTCTAAAAATTAATAAAGGAAAGAATAGTTAAGGAATAGATGTACAAATTTTATGCACATTATATCAGTAGCAGTTATACATTCATAAAAATAATTAATTTCATATCGGATCGAAGTATAAGAATTTTTCCTTGTTATTTTCTGAATCACTTAATTATTGATTTATCCAATCATAGAGTAAGATGTTATAAAAAAGTGTATTAAAAATTTTTTATTTTAAATGATGTATACTTGTGGGTCTTTTACTCTGAAAGTACTGTAGATACAATCTGCAAAGAAACGAATAATATGTAAATACAGATTCTAAATTATAATTATAAAAGCTCATTTTATAAAAAAAAATACATAATAATAGATAAAAAATGAAATACTATATTGAATTTGAAGATTTACAGTAAATACTATATTTGCTTGCTTATACATTTAAGGATAATGAAATTATAGTTCTCAATATTAGCTAAACGACTATTCTATAGTCAAAATATGTACAGTGACAATTATCGGTAATTTTTCGGGGCTTATAAACTCTTCGAAATTTTCATTCGCTATAATCATGTCTTTATTACTTACATAATTTATTTTGTATTTTTGCTGTCTTTTAGATATGTATTCACATATTAATTTTTTATGAAATACACTTACTAAAAAATATAATTCCAGTATTAGATGTAATGCATTTATCGTATTATAAATATTGATCAAATAAAAATTTTGGTTTATTTCCTACAAATTCCTACCGACATCTGATGGTCACTGAGCATAATTTAATGGCACTCTTTCTCGACTAATTTTACATTGTTTTTGGCATGCCTTTTCCAATTTTTTCATCATCTACGTGCTTCAAGTGCAAGGTATTTACAAATAATTTACAATTATAATAATTATTAATCATTTTATTCTCAAAATAAATGATATACACTAATGGCTACTGCGATACCGCATTAATACTAACTACCAATAAATAATAAACCGATAAATTCATGAAATATAATCAATGGCGTTAGGAAGCATTCAAAATATACTACACGATTCTTTACATCCGAGAATTATAAGCATTAGGTATTTGCAATACATAGTTTTAAATGAAAGTATCTAATGTACTTTTTATATACTCTGTACTTTGTACTATAATACTTTATAATTATATATATATATATATATAAATTTGTACTTTATATTATAAAATTTTGCAAGTATTTATCTGGTTATCACACTGGTTATTTACGGCTACACATAATTATTATTTATTTTGAACCTATTGATTTATATTGGGACGAAATTAATATATTTAGACCATCGCATCTATACGTTGTGTTACAAGCTAAACTTGACTGACAATAACGGAAACTATAGTAGATCTCTAACAATATAATAAATGTATAAGGATTGTTATAGAAGTATATAATTTAATTCCTTAATACAATATTAAATTCAAATAATAATTTTATGTTTTAACGATATACAAACCTTATCAATATGATATAATCAGCTTTATTTAAGTTATTTATGATCTCTGAAAAATGAATATAATCAACATTTATTTACAAGCTTTGATTATATAAGTTATTATTAGTTAATTTAAAAATGCAAAAATTGGAAAAGTAATAATTAAAGATTCAATATTAGATTTTATTGTTCTATTATCAAGAGCTTTCAAGAATCATTTATCAATAATTAAAGATAATTAGAGAAAATATATTTTTCATAATTATATTAAAATAGTATTTGCTTCTTCTATGTAGTTACTAATAAGGATTTTCTCCAATTTTAAGATTTTTTTTACAAATTATTAAAAAAAAAAAAAAACAGAAAATGAAAAAATTTTGAAAATTTTTTTAAAACAATAAAATAGTATTTTTACTAATACAATATATAAAATTTCTAACGAAGCATCTAAAAATGATTATATTGAAGGTTCTTGACATCTTATACTATCATTTTGTGGACATTCGCAAGTGTTAAATACAAAAATATTAGTAGTTAGAAAAAAAATACAATCATATGTTTTTAAAAATTTATTTAAAATGAAGGTGTTTGAATCACAATTGCTAATTTGTTAACTTTTATAATATTTAAAATATTCAGATTTATATAAAAAGAACTTACGAAGTCATAAAATAATATATTAAAAATTGTTGGTAACACTCATTTCTAATAACGAATTACTTTTTTATTTGACATAATCACAATTAGTTTATGAAATTTAAATGACAGTTTAATAAAATATAAAATTAGAATAAACGATAATTAGATAAAATACTGTGCAGATAGTTAGTTGCATTGGTGATTATGAAATACTTTTATTATAGCCTTCGAGTTTAGAGCATTTTAAAATTTAACAATTAAAATATAATAATTAATTACATATATTGAATTGTTTTAGTCTTATTTCTGTTGTTAGTTTAAATTTGAGTGATTATTTGAAATAAAAATTAAACATACATTTAGTAATTCATCAACGATGTATGTAGGCTTAACAACTAAAAAAAATTAATATTTTTTGTTATTTATTCGTAAGCTTAAGCCGTGCATTAAAAACGTAAAATAATTAACGATAAAAAAATAAATAGAGCTTACTCAGCTCGATTTTCAATTTCAAATTAGACAAATTATTCGCGTGAGATTAATAGAAGGTACATTTTGGAATGAAGTTAATATTGCTGTGTATGCTGACTGACAAGCATTTGGCGATCAAATTGCCGTAAAAAATGTTAACACAGTAGCTCAAATATATATGATATTTGAATTATATTGCGTTGACTATCGGTCGATAAAGGCGGTACAGATATAAGGTGATTCGGTATCCCGTAAGTATAATTGATCAAAAGTAACGCTGTAAACTGTTTGAAGTCTACATTTATTTACAAACGCACGCACGTGCGCACGCAGAAAAAGATACGATGATTAAATTCTGCGCGTGCGTACAGTCTTGGATAACTATGGCTTTTATCCTTCCCTTTTTTGACTCTTTTTTTCACCTTTTTAGGCGCCCATTCATTGATCATGACACGCGGGGGTTGATGGCAATGCGGTATATCTTTCAATTTCCAAACCCCTAACTCCCAAATCCTGTCAGCCTGCGATGGGGATACTTCATCGATAGACAACCCCTTTTATGATGGAGAGTCGTTATCTCTTGGCTGTGGAGTTCCTCCGTGGATGTCGAGGCCACCACCGAGACGATGATCGTCGAGTGTACGCGAAAACGGCTTCGTCGAAATTCACTCTAATAATAAAGCCTCCGTCCTCCCTCTCTGTCTCTCGGTGCATTCCGATTTTTCGGGTAAAGCCAGGGCACGCGGAGAAACGTGCTCAAACGGACGTTGATTGAGCAAAGGGCCGAACGAAAATAGACGATTGTCGTGATTTTTGCCTCCGGTTATCCTCCATATACGCCCCGTATGCTCGATGCGTTATCTTGCCCTGCCTAAGTTGTGATGGCGAAGGTAGTGCGGTGTGATGGTGGTGCAAACGAGAAGCATGAATGAGGAAAAAAAGGACGGATGCATTTCGCGCGCACGGAGGGTGAAAAAGATAGCCAGATTACGGAAGGGCGGGAGAGGGAAAGAAAGAGAGAGAGAGAGAGAGAGAGAGAGAGAGAGGACGAAGTCATGCGGTGGCAACTGACATTGACGAAGTCATGCGGTGGCAACAGCGGCCCAAGGTGCGCGCGCGCTCTTTGCCCCAGAAGAGTTGCCGCCGTCAGTGCGCCGGAGCAAAATCAAACTCACACACAAACGTAAACATTAACGCATATATATGTGTATATATATATATATATATATATATATATATATATATATATATACAATCCGGCTACGTGCATACACTCGACCAACACGAAGAAGGAGACCTCCGCATACATCGCCCTCTCCCTGCTATCCCTCCCACGAGGCGATCGAGCAGTGCGCGTTGGTCTGTCTGCGTGTCAGAAGGAAGAGAGGAGTCGCGCCAGAGTTGGAATCCGAGTCGGATTGAGAATCGAAGTCGGAGTCGAGAGTCGGAGTCGGAGTCGGGTGGCTCGTGAGGAGCCGTAATCGTGTTGTGCGCGAGCGCAAAACTGTGAATTCGACTCGTCACTAGTGCCAATTTGAATTTTTACTTCTTTTGCCGTTTTTCCATGAGTTCTCGGCTGCGACGTCGTAGGAACCGGGATAACCCGCAATTATTGATTCCGTTCTAGTACCGGAGAAGATCCTTGTTGATGTAGCCGTGAACTGCTGTGCGCGTGAATTCGTGATTGTTCATGATGATAATCGAGCTCCTCGTGGGCTCGTATCACGCGGGTTGAAAGCCTAACCTTCTCTGTTATTGTTTTTACTATTATTATTATCGTCGACGTTACCACCACTACCACCACTACCACCACCACCACCACCACCACCACCATCATCGTTATCATCACCATTAATCGTCGCTCTTGTCATTATTATTATTATTGTTATTATTATTATTATAATTATCATTATCATTGTTGTTGATGTTGTTATAATTGTTGTTGTTGATTTTATCCATTATGATTATTGGCGCTACATATTATCGATAGGCCCGTTTTGTTTGGAATTTGTATGATCAGCGCCAAGACTAGTCCACAGTCCAACATTGTGTGATCCTGACATATACATGTGCGACCTTCGTTCGTTTTGTGCAGTAGAAAGGAAATCGTGGACAAGAGCTCGGGGAAGTTAGTGCGAGGATGAGTCCGTGGAAACGGCTCCAATGAGATGTTCAGCTCTAGAATCGTCTCGCAACCTTCAGGTCACTATTGGCTTGGGATTAGTTAGAAGGGCGATGGAGTTGTTATCGCACCTGCTCCATCGTCGTCGTCGTTGTCAGCAGCAGCAATATTGCGAAATCAGGAGACGACCGCAACTCAGCGGTAGCGGAAGGCAGCGACCGCTCAACTCGACGAAGTCACGTTAACTCCCTCTTCTCTCTCGCTCCACGTGACGGGCGATGGAACGATTCAAGTGAAAGGGTCGTTCCTGTGGGGCCATGACCCCCGGGGCGACTAGCCTGGATGCGGAGGGCCTCGGTCCCTCCTGCTCGGATCTACACAACGCCACCGGTCAGGAAGCTGCGGTACCCGTCGGCACCACTCGCACGCTGCTACAAAGATGCTATCAACATCTCAAGGTCAGCTGACGAGGAACTCGAGCTCGCGTCGTTTTAGGTCATACGACGTCAGCTATAATAGTGGAGCGTCTCGCTCGATACCGATCTTTAGCTTATGACGACCTGGCATATTTGTCTCTACGTCGATACACGACTCTAATTTCAAAATTACTTCGTCCCTCCCTTGTCGGCCACCTACTCTTGACCGATACTATTAACAACAATTACTTTTTTTACTTTCCACCCTCTTCTCTCTTTCTCTCTCTCTCTCTCTCTCTCTTTCTTTCTTTCTGTCTCTCTCTCTCTCTCTTTCTCTTTCTCTATTGCTATGGGAGTACATATATATATATATATATATACATATACACACGTGTGTATAGGCATATTTCAAGTGATATAACACTTAGAACCGCTTATGGATGCATCTTTGATGTCTCACTAATGCTCACACTCTGTGCTTGTATAATTTACGCTCTCTCTGTTGTTCAGCGAAGGTGATCTAATATTAATTAATATAATATTAAGAAATATGTGATTATGCTGGATCGTAAATATAATTGAAATATCGGCGTTATTTATTTGATTAAGCGATACATAAAAAAAATTAAATATACTTTTCTTGCCATTCATATTTAATCCATTAGTAACATTTCTATAAACCTCTGGGATCTGAATAAATAATATTCATCAGTCTACATTTATGTTTGAATAATGTTAATGGACTGGTGAAATTAAAATAATGCTGTATAATACTAGTATGAAATAATAGGTTATAGTACTAATAATAGTTCACGATTGGAATAAAATATGATTTTCATAAGATTTTAATGAATGTATATCACTTGTTAATTATTGTATTCTCTTCTTTAAAGTAATTTAATCATATTATGTATAAATCGTAAAATGTTAATTACTTGATTTTTTATATACATTGCTTCTTCTGAACATAATATTTAAACAAAACGAATAACTACATTTGATACTTGAAACAATTGAATAATGATTGATTCAATGTTGACAACTGATGGTGAAAACTGATCTTTTCTTTCGTTTATTTAATTTTATTTTCAATAATTACTGATTTAGTTATAACGCGTTCTAGATATATACTAAGTTTTTATATTTTTTCAAATATATTTTTATAATTGGAAAACATTAAAGAATAGTCTCTATACAAATAATTTAAAATTAGATGCAGAAATGAAAATAACTTATGCCCATAAGTATACAAGAAAAAGGAAATAATTCTATTTTCTATGCAATCAAGTATATTAAGTCAGTAAACAAGAAATTAAAAATAACTTCAAAACCCAAAGGTTGCATACAAATCGTAGTACTGTAAACATTTCAAAATTACATGTCATAAACTTGTTTCATATACAAGAATATGAATAAATATTGGATGACATCAGGAAGGGTTTAAAAATTTTAATCAATCAATATTTTAATAAAAAACGTAGATCTCTTGTACATCATGTTTTATTCATTTAATAGATAAAAATTTTAAAACCCTACTTTTAAAAAAAAATCATAATATAACTATATTATTAGCTACACTTAATGGCGAAGTTATTATACGTCAATGATTAATGCATATTATCTATTAGATCATAATATCTAGTGATTTCATTATATATGCTAGTAAACTAGATATTAAAGAGATATTGTAAATCACGATCTATGTTAATCAAATTTTTCCTTTGTTATTTTTTAATATAATTTAAAATAAACAAAAAATTATTCCTTAAAAAACCTATTATGTTTTTTGCTTCATACTATAATTTTATAACTTATTAGAATATCAAGCAATATTATTTATTCGCTTAAAGACAGATGTTCGTTTTTTATTTCAATATTAAATTTTCAAATCAATCGTAAACATTAATTAAGTAGAGTTTTTAATGGAAGCTTCCTGTAATATAACTTTTGAGCAATGACCTTAAATTTGACAATCTGCCAATCGATTCCAAGTCCTTCTTTTTATAATTTCTACATTTATATAATATCGAAATATGTTTTCAAGGTAGAAAGTACAATAGTTTAAATTTTTTTAATTATGGTTTCAAATAATTGATATTTTTTAATGTAGTTTCATTTTTGTACCGTGTAGCGTTTAACAATCAAAATATAAAATTTCGATAGTAATTTTAAAATAGATATAAAATGTTTAAATATACGTTAAATGTAAGTGTACGGTTAAATCTTCTGTAATAAATTAACGGTAATTTCAATTTCGGGCTTAGTTATATAACCGAGATTTTACTCTAAAAGCTTGCATATTTTCAAGGCATTATATCTGTAAAATATAAAATTCTAAAGAATTATTATTTCTTATGTAGGTTAATGAGCTTAAAAGAAAAACACAGATTTTAGTCATTCATTATGAAATATATGTATATATATATATATATATATATATGTTAACTAGTTATTATTATATGTCCAAAGAGAGAAAGAAAAACCGGTTAAACTTGTTGCCTTTTGTACAAAATATATAGATTATGCCGAATTAAATTAAGTGCAACGTTACCATTGAGTTTAAAAATTAATTACATAGATCTGGATATTTTATATAATAAATTTATAAAATATTATTAAAAAAAAATACAAATTTGACCTCGTATTAAATACTTGCTTGTGGCCAATGAAAGCTTGTGGCATTAAAATATTTCAAATACATACACAAAAAATTTAATTTGTAAAATTATCTTTAATTTTGTTTATTTGTTATTTAATTAGATTTTCTACTATAATTTCATAAATCTACCACTTTATAATAATAAAACAAATTATACACGTTTTATAATATGATTTGAATCATAATTTTTCTTGCCAATATTAATCACTATAGAAATTTTTATTAAAATTTCATAAATGTATTTTATTAATATTTAAAAATTTGTAATATATTTAATGTGAAACATAACGAGAAAGTCTTCCTACAAAAATAATATGGAACACTGTTAATATGAAATACGGATGTTAAGTATAGTAATACTGTAAAGTAATCTATAAAAAGATGGCTGCATAGAAGCTATATGGATAATCTATAATTAAGTTCTTGATGAAGCGCACTATTGAGTCCATCCAGATGAATTTTCTGAAAAAAATATTTTATTTGACCAATTTTATCAATTTGTTGTGTATAATTAAGTTAGCTCTGAGCAATAATAATAACTTTTATTATATATGAAAATGTCCTTTGTATCTTAAGAACGTTCAATATATATATATATATTTCAATCTAACTTGATAAAATTATAAAATTTATCATTATAAGTTCTTTTTAACTAGTTATAACGAGGAGGATAGGAATTGCATTTTCAAAATTTTGATTTTAAATATCAGCATCCTTTGATATGTAGATATAACACTTTACTATTTAATTATTACATCCATTTTTATTACCTTCCTACTATCCTTAAATTATGATGCAATTTATGTTTAACTAATATTCGTAGAACAAGATAATTAATTACCAAATTCATGTAATTGAAATGGAAAGAAAAAAGTAAAAATTTATTTAACTACAATTTTAGTATTATTTAAATATTATCGTACCAAGACTAACATTTTTATGATTTATATAACGAGCACTGAATCATTATAGAAATCCATCAATGTATACTGATTTATATTTCGAATAGTTACTCGATATTTGTTGTAATGAAAACTAGGTTAAATTATAGGTTAACACCTATTAGCTGACTGTCTGAATTACAAATTCTAAAATAGTATATTAAATACTCGATGATATCAGCGTCAGCCATTAGACAAAGGAAACGCTGTGTAAAATTTTCTAAAAATCCGAACATATCTATTACAAGTATCACGAAGTATGGAAAAATGAATTTCACTTACATGCAAAAAACCTCACAAAAGCTTTTGATTCGTTCACAGACTTCGGGCGTGGGGGAGGCATCAGTGTACCATGCGCTAGTCGTCATATTCCTGGAGTTCTTCGCATGGGGCCTTCTGACTATGCCCGTGATCTCGGTGTTGAACGAGACTTTCCCGGATCACACATTTCTCATGAATGGACTCATAATGGGCATCAAAGGTATACTGTCGTTCCTTTCGGCACCGCTGATAGGCGCCTTATCGGATGTTTGGGGCCGCAAGTTCTTTCTCCTGATAACGGTGGCCTTTACGTGCGCCCCCATACCCCTTATGAGCATCAACACCTGGTGGTTCTTCGCGATGATATCGATAAGTGGGGTGTTTGCCTGTACGTTCTCCGTCGTATTTGCCTACGTTGCCGACATCACCGAGGAGAGCCAGAGGTCTAAAGCCTATGGAAGAGTAAGTTCGACCACCATCGTTAAATCATCGTAAATTAATAGCCGTAAATTTTGAGTCGTAGAAATTTTGAAACTGCGCGAAATACTTTGTGCGTTTATATCGCACTTAATCTTAGAAGCACAATCATATCGATAGAACTAACTTTCGTTTTAAACTCGGAACTCAATTGCTGACTCGATATTGGTCTATCTATATCTACGGTACATTAGCAAGCGATTGTTTGAATTTCCAGTCAATGGGTATTTGCACGCGAGCCTTGAAAGTACCATCAATTCGCAGATAATTCGTAGAAAGAAGGGACTTAGCTTTTAAATATATAGATTTTTATATGGTTAAATATGTATGCTGATTTTACTTCATTTACAATTCAGTTATTAATATATGTAATCCATTTAGTTAACATTAATACTAAATGGCATATTTATTGCCAGCATTGAATTCATAATATATCATATGGATCATATACCTCATATTAAAAATCATTTTTCATGATATATACCTACAATCAATTAATTTTCAAAACATATATTCATAGTTAAATAACTTTAATTTTTGATAAAAATCTTTACAATATTTCGATACTATTGAAAGAATTATGATATATGTGCTTGAATAGATCGATGTATATTTTATCAATGAACATTGTGTGTTGTGTGTAAGGCAAAACTTTTTATCGGTTTTAACACAATTTGTTGCTTTTATTTTTTATTGTACACATTGATAACTGTTATTTTATTATTTTATATACGGATATTTATTTATAACAATTACTGTTGCAAAATTTTTGTGTGTGGGGGTGTATGGGGGGGGGGGTCACGCACCCGTGTATGAAGAACATTTTTTTCTGGCGCTTAAATTTTCAATATTTTCTATATGATTTCAACTTCGTATTTGAGTAATTCTATTTTTATTATATTTTTTATTCAATTACAAATAGTAATTAAAAAATGCATAAATCAAATTATTTTAGACATTAAAATGAATATTTCACGAAATTTTTCGTATATATTATTAAAATATTTCTCAACTATATTTATTATTAATTTATAATATAATTTTTAATTCATTTATAATTAATTCTTTATATAATATTGTTAATTTCGATTGTAGTTTTCTTTATTTAATTTTGTTTTGTGACTGTCATGTAATTAAAATAAATGATAAGTATATACTTAAAATCGTATTTTTAACTAATTTTCATGACTATAACTTCATAAGCATAACTTTTGGTTTAAAGCTGTCTTCACCACGTTCCAACATTTAATAGACGTACTTTTTGTAGGTGTGCAAGGCCATGATATTTATGTATTATGACAACCTAGTTTTAAATATTTCGATGCATAAAAAAGAAGAAAATGAATGTAAAATTTCATCATAATTTAAATCGACTATGTCTTGAAAAGTAAAGATGCCAACCAATTAAATGTTTTATCATCGAGTCTTTTTCAATACGTGAAAAGTATCGTTTTTTAAATTATGCATACTGTAATATATAATATAAATTTACCTCGTAAATTTATTATTTATTTATTTAATATATCACTAGAGAACAAGCATTAACAAATACTACTTTAATGAAAATCGTTATTTTTAACGAAATATATACTTAATTGATTAAGGTAGTTAGTACATTTTAAATAAATGGGGCGCTTCAAGCAAGTTTTAATTACCTCGGGCCATCGGATGGAAGCAATTAGATCAAAATAACTGTATCACTTTTATCATAATTTCTAAGAGATAACACGGGAAGTGTTATATTTTCCAAATGATGGTCACTGCATTAGCATATAATAGATACTTGTTTAAGAATGCATTTCTTTTTTTAGAATAAAATTAAGTGCATCTTCTGATACATTCTATTTCAAGCGAGTAAAAGTTTAATTTCTAACATTTTCATTACATATGTAATCATTAAAATAAAAATCTTTAAGACTAAGCTCATCAATCGCTTACGATTCATGAATTTGTCGTTTATCGTATGATTAAGCGGATGTGGCAAATAATTTATAAAATTGATAAGATATAATATTTACAAAAATAAATTATAAATAGATAAGCGAACCTACTGTAGAATTCAATCAATTTAATTACTCATTACGCCTATTTAATTGAAAATGCAGAATAAACTATAATGCTGTGTGTGTGCAGGTCTCGGCGACGTTCGCTGCGAGCATGGTAATAAGTCCAGCGATGGGCGCCTTTACCATGAGCACCTACGGCCAAAATGTTGTGGTCGCTCTCGCGACCGCCATCGCCATCCTCGATGTATTCTTCATTCTCGTAGCGGTGCCGGAGAGCCTGCCGGAAAAGGCAAGGCCACCAGCACCTATTTCCTGGGAACAAGCTGATCCGTTCGCCGCTCTCGGAAAGGTGAGTCTCTCTCTCTCTCTCTCTCTCTCTCTCTCTCTCTCTCTCTCTCTCTCTCTCTCTCTCTCTTATATTAATATTGGGTTCTGCATTTGTGTGTACGGTGTCGCTCCATTTCGTTCAGTTCAAGCATGTAATAATGCAATGCTATGAAAAGCATCGTTTTTTATTTTTATTATTTTTGACAGGATTGTCATTTCATATTCGTATTCATTCTGAAAGTATGTTTTTCAAGCAATTTTATATCGAGTTTCAGTTTTATTGTACATATATTGAAATATAATAAAAAAAAAGCGTACACAAAGATTCAATCATTAGAGCCGTAATTTAACATATTTATTTAAATTTTAGAATTATATTTTATAAGGTCTGTTACATGAATTTGAGATATTTGTATCGCTTTCATTGAAGGTATATGATTTCAACCAACTTTTATCTTTTATGCGCTCTATTAAATAGTGATTATCACTTATCGTTTTTACGAAGGCTTTAATTAGATTTTAATTTTATTTATATAGAAAGTACGGTTTCTATGTTATAGCTTTATTTTATTTCTTTTAATATTAATAATATATGTTGTATTGCGCTTTGTAGTTAATCGTTAATATTACATTTATGCTGCAAGGTATTATAATTACTACCTTACAATATACTATTCTTGTTAATTAGAACAAAAGCCATATTCGAAACGAAAATTATTTTTAAAAAGTTTGTTTTATTTATTTGCTTTTTTTAGTGAATAAATATATTTACAATCTCATTCGTATGATATAATATTGCTTTGATAAATAATACACGATAAAATTTATATTTATTTATAATGCACGCCCTTACAAATCTTGTCCTCATATGTAGCCGTACAGAAATCTGCGGGTGAATTGAAAAATTGATTAATTTGTAAGAAAACTTAATAATTTATAATATTATACATAATTTCTTAACTAGGTGGGGAAAGATCACACCATACTGATGCTGTGCGTCACGGTGTTCCTAAGCTACCTGCCCGAAGCCGGCCAGTATAGCTGCATATTCGTATACTTGAAGCTCGCGATGGGCTTCTCAGCAACGATGGTTGCGATATTCATAGCCGTCGTTGGTATCCTCAGCGTATTAGCCCAGATTGTCCTGGGCCCTCTTATGAGGACACTTGGCAGCAAACATACGATAATGCTCGGACTCCTTTTTGAGCTGCTCCAGCTCATGTGGTATGGATTTGGATCACAAACATGGTAAGCGCAGTCTGCTTCTGCTAACCCTTGTGTTTCTCCGCTATTATAATCGTCGAGTCTGTTTTATTGACTAAGAATCTTGATTGTTACTGCTATCAACAATGGTCTAGATTAGCTTAGATCATAAGTTACGAAATATGCATATTTAAAATGCAAGTAACAAAACTGTACTTATGCTGAGCAGCTTTTTTACAGACTTACGACGTCCATAAATGAAAAATGTAATTTACAATTTTTGATATCAGTTACAATCACTTCATAATAAACGTAACCATGAGTTGCGTAAGAAAAACAAGATATATAATAAAAAGCGAACATCTATCTGGGGCTTATTGGAAAAATATAGGATGATGTGGGCAGCTGGCATACTAGCATCGATCTCCTCGATCACCTACCCAGCTATCTCAGCCTTCGTTTCAATGCACTCGGACGCGGACAAGCAGGGTCTTGCCCAGGGCATGGTGACAGGTATGCGAGGTCTCTGCAACGGTCTTGGACCTGCCATGTTTGGTGTTATATTCTACCTCTTCCATGTGGATCTTAACGAGAAGACGCCCTCGCTGCCCCTCAAACCGCCCCTCCTCGACGAAAATAATAACACGGGAACTGTTACGCACCTCGATATTATGCCTCAGGTGAAGAATTACTTGAATTCATTTTAATATTTTCTATATTTATTTTCATTTTTTCCGTCTTTTCATGTCACCCTTGTAAGCAGGTGATCGCTACTCTTTTACCTGCAACGATAAGCATTCGCCAGTTGCTTTTCTATAATAATAATATACTCGGTACTGAGGCATTATATAAGATTCAATTTTGAGTTTCATCTCAATAAACTGCTATTAATATTTTATTTAAGCACATTAATCAAACGTTTGCGTTTGAAATAATTCGTACATTTCATCATGGTACAACATTTCATGAGTACTCAATCATCAATGATATATGCAGTTTTAGAATTTTTTAAAAATGTGCAATAAATACTAACCGACCATTAGATATTAAATATAAAATTAAATATTGCTTCGTACTTTTTCAGCTGGTACCAGGACCCCCATTTGTATTTGGTGCATTATTGGTAATTTGCGCGCTATTAGTAGCTGCCTTTATTCCGGAATCAACTCCGATGATAACGGGGCAGCTGCATCATTCTTCTACCTCCCGGAGGCCTTCCGGTAAATACGCATATCAAAAATGTACGTTACAACTTACCACCATACAAACTGAGAAGGATAATCCTGGTGGTGGGTCTTTATCGAATAATAATCATTAGGCACAACTGCATTGTAATTTTCGATCATTTGATCTTTATATATTAATATCACAGCATTGTAAACAACAATTTAACCTAATTTACATTTTGTTAACTTGTAATTTCATCTACAATCGTAATCGTTAAATTAAGCGATGCAGTTGTATTTATGCAATTTAGTTATTTATACATTAGAATTACAGTGAGCATGCAATTGGTATACTTTATTGTTAAATGCTTTTGATTATCGACAATGATCATTTTCTTTCTGATTGTTTATTAAAAGTGATAAGAGCTAGAATACTATCTATTATTTGTGGTATTGATATGATTAAATTTATACATTCATTGAAGAAGTTTATATTAAAAACAGTAATATAATTTAAGCTTGGCATTTATTTTACGGTATATGAATTTTGAAATACATGAAATTGATTGAAAAGTTAAGTGCACGAATGAAATTTAAATGATGAGTAATTTTTAAAATGATTAAACAAACTGTCACACGAACTCGTACCTTCTGAGTTTGCGTTTTGACTCTTAATTTCTATTAACTCTAAAACTTATTCCATAAATATAATTACTAATAAAAAAATGTATTACGAGTTAAATTATTAGTTTACCCTAGGAGGATATAATACGTAGAAATAAATAAATTACATTATTTTTAAAGTAAATAATAACAAATTTATAATTAAAAGGAATAAATCATCCTTATATCGATAATGATTTGCAATTTATCACGGCAGTTGCATATTAATACGCTTATATTTAGTTTTTCTAGTTATAAAGTCTAATAATACATTTTTATCTTTTCTTCATTTAATAACTCATTAAATTAAATTACATTTCAATGTTATTCAATTTCTTAATTTAAAAAATATTTTAACTAATTTAAAAAGTTATTATCGATATTATGTAAGAATAAGGTTTTACTTTCAAAATGATTACAAATTTAACATAATTTTCTGGGTAAATATTAAAAAAAAAAAGTTAATTTTAATCAAATATATATACATTACGTATTTTGCTCAAATTTGATAGGTAAAATTGTTTTATACAACACGCTAAGTACGTAAAATTTATAATAACCAATTTTAACAATTTTTATAAACGTAAATTATATTTTATTGGACCGCTCTTTCATTTCTAACCGAGACATTTAGTGAAAGAAATACTACAAGAATTAAGCTTTCGCATTTCTACTTAGTTTCAGATTCATATAAAGAAAATAATCGGCAGTGGATCAAAGTCTAATGGATTTTTATGAAACAAGATTAAATGTTTCTTATGACAGTAATAAATTCATGAATGTTATGAAAACGGTTTAAAAAAATAAATAGAAGTAGTACGATGCAGTGGACAGTAAGTAAATAAATCATTATTTTGCTTTCCCTATACGTCTATGTTAATAAAAAGACATAATTTCATAAAATAGGCTATAAATTTTATAAAAATAGTGTCCATTACATTGTACATATTTATTATTTATTTTATAAACTGTACTTACAAAATAATTCCAAATGTAAATATTTGAAAGTGCAATACAATGAAAAAGATGTCAAAAAATTATTTATGTGTAACCACATTTTGTTGATAGATTTTATTTATTTAAAGACTTTTTTAAAAATAATTATTCATCCCATTGTTCTTTAGATATTTGAATATAGTTATTTAAACATAAAATAAAAATTTTCAATAAAATCTTATTTTTATTATGTAAAAGCTAAAATGTGATGTACATAAATTTAAAATTTTAAATAAAAATATGTTAATATAATTAATGTATTATTAGCTTTCATTCGGTAAATTTATAATAACATTTAAAAAATATTTTTAGTATCATAGTATAGAACTATGAGTATAGTTTAAACTATTTATAAAAAGTAAATTAATTTACATTTATAGAAGCCAAAGTTAAGATTTTTTGTTACATTTATCACCAAACTTAGTAAATATTTTAATTAAGAATTACAATCGTTTTATAAAATGATTCTAACTATTTTATAACAAACTAATATATACAATCATTTATGACCTGAACTATAATAAAATCAATTTTTCTTTATTATGAATGCTGGCGTTTTATAATGGCTCAAACAAATTATTAATATTCAATATTTAAGCTCAATGACAATTGACATGTAAATAATTTCGTCTTCTATCATTAAGGAGATGCGGTTTTAAATTTAATGGTTGAATAATATTCGAATTATATCTAAAGGATTTTATTGTTCAAAAGATTGATTTGCTAGTTAAAAATTTAATTCATTCTACTTCTGTATTTTCATTGATATAAATATCGCCGTAAATACATTCTTTAAATATTTTTTCTCTTACAGAGGGAATTTTATGATAGTAAATTATGACTTAAACCTTCTGATGTATTGAGACGACTTTATATTCGATAAAATTTTGTAATAACATTATTAAATATATTTATATAAATTTACCATAAGTTATAAAATTTTTCATAAATTTTAACAGTAACATTGAACATTTTGCAGTAACTGCTATTTCGGTAATCAACTATCAGTTAATCAATATCAAACACTATATGTCATGTTCTATACAATTTTTTATTTATCGTATTATAAATACGTTATTAGAAATAGAGTAATGATACATTTTTCAATCATCAGTGTTTAAGACGCGTTAACGTTAGAGCCACGTTCCTTGTGACTCATATAAACGCAGCTATGAGACAACAATAATTGATAAATAAAAAAAAATTTTAATTCGATATTAAGTCCTTAAATTGAAAACAAACAAGTTAAGTAGCCAAGGCATATCTGAAATAACGCAAAGCTTTAAATAAACAAAGTGACTATTAATACCACTGTGCGCCAACCTTGACACAGCTAATAAGCCAAACAGTTATGTTAACTTGTTTTCAAATAGACAGGAAAATGATCGTGAAAAAATGCATTCGCGTCTCTTTAATTATAATGATTGTTTCAGTACTCGGTCGATAAGCAGTCGAAGGCTAAAAGCTAACTGCATAGCGCTGCGCGGAAGTCGCGAACGGCTCCACGATTAACGCACAGCACGTTGTTCGCAGGCCTCTCGCTAGATGTTCACTATGAAACCGATAGGATAAGCAGCGGCAGAGGTAAAGTCGGACCCCTGTCTCCACTAGTCGACGGCTGTAACTCCGCAGTTCTTTAACCAATGCTCGAGGCCGGAAGGCGCCAACAGGCCAGACACAAGAGTTTGTTGCCAGTCTAGGCGACACGGCTCACTCCATCGTTCCCTCCCTCGTTCCCAATCCCTACTAACCTCGATGATCATCGGAGATAGAGTGGCACCAGAAACAAGCTCATGACGTTACACTGATGCGCCGAGTATGTTTGGTAGCATACTTGACTGACCCATCGGTGAAAACGCACATTGATCGTCATGTACGTTCACACACCAATGCAACCGAACAACATATGAGGGCACTGGGAACAAGATTGTCTGGGACAACGGATTTTCAACGTTGGGGCCTTCGTGGTTTATGTATCGTGCGAACGGGCGAGTATCAAGATTAGGTGATATTAACCAACCCTTCTTTTCGTGTACTAAACTAACGGATACTTTAGTTTAAATTACAAGAACAATTTTTCTGGTGTTTTTTTCCTTTATAATTATCTGCCAAAGTTTTAAAGCACTGTGAAATAAAAGATCGATATTAAAAATAGTTTGTTTATATGCTTAAATAACTACAAATATACAATTTCGTAGAAGGTCGTTGTGTTGCCTTACGCACTATTACTGATTAACGAGAAGACTGGTATTGTAATAATTGCTTGTACAAACCTTTTTTCTGCTTGATCCAAGTTTTTTAACTTGCGATATTCGAGAGCCCATAGTTATTTTAAATTGATGAAACTTATATTTATGCAGACTAACACTGGGGCTGTAATTTTCATCGTAATGCCATTTGCATTAAGTCTGGAACATGTGAAGGTTGAGATTCGATTTTAATGTAGAGTTTCTTGATATTTTCTATTTTTAAATAATTACATCATCTGATTCGGAGTCAATCTAGTGGTCTGCTACATTGCATTGAACGACTAATCGTTTTAACTACATTTGTGGTTGAAACAAAATTGTTGTCAAGAATTTAAGAATAAAGCAGGCATTCATAGATATTGAGATACAATGCATATATTGATTTATTGAATGACACTAAACTTGAATATTTTATTGTATATTGTTTGTATAAATGGGTTACTCGGTCTATCAATATATTTTTAGCAGAGAGGATATTATGAATGGGTAAAAGATAACATTACTAGTATTATCTATTGTAAACTTAATCCATCCATTTTAATATACTATCGCATTATTGTATAGGTTTATGAAATATTGTTATTTTCAAACCCAAAAAAAAAATGGCCGACATTAATGCATTAATAGCTTATTCTATCCCTGTAGTACAAAATATCCTAGAATAATAATAATTTACAAATTGTAAATTCACAATTCAGCGATATGTGTTTAATTTATGTATGAATATATAATAAAATTCTAACTTTGTAGATGAGCATTTTTTTCTATATGCATTTGAAATTCTCAATTACGATCAATAATTTCTAACGCAAAATTGATTAAAAATTACGTAGTATTAATGTGTATTTCATCTACAACTGTATAATTGGTGTCAATTGCTTTTGTTTTATTCTCATAAAAATCTCCTAATGCTCTTTTTTATATAAAAATAATTGAAAACTTTTTGATTTATTAGCAACAAATAAGGTTTATCATTTTAAAAAAAGTCTTTATCAAACAAAGTCTTTTAATTCAGTTCCGAGTTTATATAAATTATCAGCAAAGAGTGTACAAATAATAACTTGAAATAAAAAGTTTTGGCACAATAATGAGGTTAAACCTGTGGGCATTCAAGTTATTTCAAGTTGATACAAAGATTAGTTGATAATTGAAATTTGGCTTAATTAGTTGGGTGCATTTCAACTATGTTTCATGTTGAATTGTTAGGTCAGATCTTTGGTTTTGTAAAGTGTGCTTTTAAATTGCATCAGTAAAATATTATTCAGGGAATAGTGCAAATGATAAACTATGCTGTGAAGTACACTTTTTAAGGCAAATCCTTATCATCCATACTAAAGCAGATATTGTTTCCATCTTAAGATTTTCGACGAATTACAATTAAGGTCGATCGATAAACTTAACGGAGTAAAAACTTTTCAAATACATTTTAAATTAAAGCCTTGACTAACCGAAAGTGTCAATTTTCTATGAACCTAACAAATCACTGTGTTTGACCTACATGACATACATAAGACTTTAAATGATATTTTATCATGATAACTTAGTAAACTAATGTACTATATTGGTGATAAATTGAATAGATAAAAAACATCTTTTTTTACTAAACAACGTTATTTTCCAAACTCAGCGTTTTTTAATTGTTTCAAATTTTCGGTAAAAATTATAATAATAAGAATAAAATAATGGAATAAAATTGCGATATAATAATGGCATAATGAGGAGTATTGAATTTATTAATATTTTGGGAAGTTCAGTTATTTCTTATACCGTTGATGTGTTTTAAAAATTAGGAATTCGCCTTGCTGTAAATTCAACAGCGTACGAGTACCAGGTGATACACAGGTAATAGTTTTGAAATTGTGTCTTTCTTTAGAAAATTATATTCGATATTAAACTAATAAGGGCTAATGCTTGCTTTTCGTGCTAATGCATTGACAACGAACACAAAATGGTTAATTAAAAGAGCTTGTGCATATACGGATTATAAAAATTATATGCAAGTCATAAAATATAAAGTTCTTTCCTCGGCTTAGGTATTACATTTTTTGTTCTTATTAAATTCCACTTCAGGAAGAAACTTCACAAATATAGACCTTAACACTGATGTTTCAGGCTTCTTGATAACACTCGTAGGATAATAATTTTTTATGCCTTCTCTACACGGAAGTTTTCGTTCGCTCAAAATATTAGGATATTTTAGTTGTATTTTAATTATGTAATATTGGTCAGTTGGTGCAGAATATCTGTATAGTAAATATAATGTCAAGAAGCGTGCTCATTAAAAGTAATACATTTATATATCATACAAGGTATTATTGTTATTATTATGAATATTATAACAAATACAACTAATAATATAAGAAAAGTTGTTCTGGCAGTAACAAAACAGGCACAGTTCTTGGAATTAAGAAAACTATTTTCCTCCTATTTGACGTCTAATTCAAAGTAATACAAATAATGATTTTTTTATTAAATGAAACTTGATTGTGTTTTGACGTAATAGTAAAACTATAGTAGGTTGAGATAACTAACTTCCAGGTAATTTTTATACCAGCTTGAGTGTATCCACTTGTAATTATGAAATAAAGCTTATAGAAAACAAGAAATGAGTAATTGAAAACAATTGTTAATATACTTTTAATATCGATCTTCTTAAGGATTGATTATAATAACCGGGGCAAATCTTTGCGGAATTGTACACGAAGGCACACAAATGATGCACATCAATTAAATATTTTATTATATCCAAACGTATTTGATTAACTAACAAAATTAATGCCTAATGCGACGAAGTATTGTACTACGTTAACATAAAAATATAACAGTCATGTAACGACTCGTTGACTCGATAAATTTTGTTGCTATGTGCGCCCGTACACATACGCAAACTCAAAGTTGGCTGCTGCTTATATATAATTGTAAAAACAAAATATATATTGTTAGGTTGTGAAAAAAATGATTTACGAAAAATGAAAATAAAAAACATAGAGAAATCATTTATGTAGTTAATAATAGTACGCGATGTTGGCCGTCTTTGGTTTAGATTTTGACATTTTTTCGACAATCATTCGACTATCGAAAATACTGAATGTTTCATTATTAAATAAGTAAATTGAAATTTTATGATTTTACTACAGCGTGTTTACTATTTGACAAAATCAAGACACTATAAACTATTAGTTAAATTATTATTAAAAAAATTTATATTAAACTAAAATAAGATGATTTAAAAATACTTAAATTTTTTCAATTATTAATAATTTTTAATACAATACTTGTGTTATTTGAGATAAATAGCTTTAATTGTATGATTTTAGTTTTATGAATTAAATATTCAATAAAGTAGAGTGAAACTATTTGAGAATCCATTAAAATAATATTTAATTATCAAAGAAATATATTCTAAAGAATGAACTTATCAAGTAAAAGATACATTGTGTTCATATAAATATATTTGGATATAAATGTTAGGAAGTCATGTTTTAATATGTTGATTTTTTATGTGAATGTTTTGAAAAGTTAAAAATTCTGATGCAGTGCGACAGTAAGTAATGTGTTTATTGGCGTGGAATATTATTCCTATAATTTTTCCTCTAAAAATAACTGAAGACGACCAACAATAACTGTCAGTGCGACGCATCAAAATATTAAGCGATTGCGTCGCACAGAGTAAAACGAAATCGCTTTGGTTCGCCTGGTAAAGATACACATGAATATGCAGACACATAAATATTTACATTTATACATATGTATGCCTACATAAACACATGAGTGATAAAAAAGTAAAATAAGCTATTTTAATAAGCTTGCCAAGAGCACAAAAACGCCGAGGCAGTAGAGGAGAGTTGTGATCAGTATTGTTTTTCATTAGACATGCATCGTTTCTTCCTCCACTTTTTGAAAAAAAGTAACAAAAAAAGAAGCGCAGAAAGTAAAGACATTTATTAGAGACCTATTAATAATCTTCTTCTTCAATACCCGTTGCACAGAAAAAAGTTTTATTAAAGTTCGTGACCTTTACCATTTCACCAAATGAAAGACGAATTTCCATGTTACTTTAAATTATCCATTAGTCACTCTAAGAACCAATGCAGCAACTTCATTGCTAATTAATTATATGGTCTGATAAATTTTACAATTATATGAAGGTTTTTAACTGATGTATTGAATTATTTTAGCACAATTTTTATGAGGATTTTTAATTAACAATCAAAACTTTTGTTTTTTTACGTTATTGCATCCACAATTGAGCTAGTAAAATAATTGTCTGCATTTATTTGACGAAAAATGTACAAAAGGAATCATTGTAAACATTAATAGACCATTAAAAACTAAAAATGGAACTGTGTGAATTATGATTAAAACAAAAAGCAAATAAAAATGTGCTAATGAAATTTTAGTTGCCTTATACGAATAAAATTTTCTACGGTTAAGTTAAATAAAGCTTATTTTCTGTGTATATTTACAACTAAAATCTATCTTTTCAGATTATTAAATTAATGATTTGTCATGAAATCAAGTAACACCACTTTTTGTAAAAACTCCTTCTTTTAAAATAATAAATAATTTTCAAACAATTAGAGGTTTAACTTCTGAAGCTCAACGCCAACAAGTCTTGCATATCATATATTGTAACAAAAAAGAACAAATAGTAGATTCGCCACTGTATGATAAAAATTAATAAGTTTTTTTAACTTGAGTAGCTTACTGTTTATAATTGATAGTGCTAAGATAATTGAAATAAAAAAAAATTATAATAAAACAAATTACGAGAATTTATTAAGAATAAATTTTAATTCATATTTTATAGTAATTTGTTTTTTATAAAAATCATTAATAATTTTTATAGTTATAATTGAAGAAAATATCGTTGTTTAAAATTATTATTACTATTACAAATTTATTACAAATTTGACAGAGTTTAACAATCATTTTTATTACACAGTATCAGATTTACTATTAATTTCATATATGCCTTATCAAATCTTTGTTTTTTTTACACGATACATTTCATATGACACAGATTGTATGAAGTTACGATTTACATAAGGAAATGTATTATGTATTTTTAAATGACAACTAATTCTAAAACGGTAAGAATTTGGAGTATACATAACGTGTGCGTATCTGCGTACGTGTAGTATTTTGTTATGAGCACATGACTTCCGTCACTGCTTTAGCCAATAATTCATATCAGTCGACGTCAAAAATATATAGACAGTATAACATTATTGCAAACATACAAAAATATGTATATTGGATCCCAGAAAAATGCACACGTATAGTTTAGAATTTATCGAATCTATTTTATTAATAGCGAATGCTTTTATTGTATTATGAATAGTAAAAGTGTTTGAAGCAATTTCAGATTCTTTTGCGTACATAAGATACATAACAATGTTTTATAAAATTTTAATGATTTTGAATTTAAATATATACTCAATATATGATGGAAATAGCTTTTAATTATTACAATTAAATAATTATACATATTACTTATGCACAATTTTTAATAACTAATGCATATAATTTTCTTTATCATAATGCAATTATTGCGATAATCTGTAATTATTGTTGTAATCTTTTGTAAATTAGGATATAATATTTTTTTATATGACGTAATTATACGTGATATTTTTCATAAGTGGGAACCGAAAACTGTGTCAATATTTGTAACGAAGTATGCATTAAAATCGGTGTTACAAACAAAGCTTTTTTGATACGCCATTCGAAACTGGGGTTTGAATAGTGCTAAAGGCAAAATAAATTATGCTTTAACAGTATTTATTAGAATGTTGAAAAAATTTTCATACAATTATGTAATAGTATTAGATATATTTATACTTTTGTTCGAGTGAATACGTATAATATTTAAAAATATAGTATCGAAGACTTAAATAATATGAATTTAAATAATCTTGTAAGAGGTAATTTATACTTATAAATATATATTATGCAGTTAATAACAATGAGTTCGTAAATTTTAAACTTTTAATGCAAATGCACAACTATGAATGAACTATCGTTAATGAAATATAATAAAAAATAATACTTAAAGCAATTTTTATTAAAACAAAGTAATGAATTCTAATAATTTTGTTCAAACCGTAGTTTCGAACTCTTATAAGCTTACAAAAAAATTGAGTATTAAATTTGCAACCAATTTAAAAGACATGAAAGTTTTGAAAATATACAGTGAATTTAAATTTCAAGCAAAATAGAAGTTCTGTATAGTTAGTTATTACAATTGACAATTTTAAAATTATTAAATAATGAGACATTGGTATTTTATCACAAGATTTTTTTACAATGAATCATATAAATATTGCAATGATTTGAAACAATTTTTTACTCCCTGAAGTGATTGAATATTAATGTTCACATTGAAAAATTTAAAATTGATTTAAATTTATAATTCATAATTCATTTGTTATTTACTGTCCATTTTCAGTATATATAGTTGCGGATTTTCTATGAGATTTTATTCGCAAGAGAAAGAGCCAATTGATCTTGTATTATTTATTTTATTTTCCCCCCCTCTCTCTCTCTCTCTCTCTCTCTCTCTCTCTCTCTCTCTCTCTCTCTCTATCTTACTATGCATTTGCATACGCTACACATTTTTTGTATTCGACTCGAACTTGAAAACTTGGAACAATAGTTTTTATCCCCTGTAAATCTCAACATAAATATTTTTCCTCGATGGAAAAATTAAATAATCATTTAGTGCTCACTTTTAAAATCAACGATAGATTTATCTAAAGCTGCTAGTGCGAATTAGCAATGACCCAACATAAATAAATCTTGTATTGATACAAAAGGATTGAGAAAGCCGTATTTCAATTCTTTCAATCAGACGTTAAAAGTTTTAAAAGATTCGTTGTACTATTAAAAAATTCTGAAAATAACGTGTAATTATAAACGATGATCCTATATATAAGTTTTCTTGCATTTCAGATTTTTTTCGCGGATAAGGAAAAATATATATACACATACGCCTCTATTCTTTTGAAAACTCAGAGTACAAACATAAGTAAAACATACACATACACTTAATTAACGTCTCTACGTCAGCGGCAAGCTCACAAAAGTATTATGTGTATCTGTATATTATGTATTTAATACCTTAACTGATGAATTCTACGTAAATCCAGTATTTTATTTTTCTCCAAGCCGCAATTCGTCCTTTGTTTTTTGCTTTAGTTACAAATCTATTACTAATAAATAATCGATCAAAAATTAAAGTTGCAATTTCCGGAATACTGAGAGGATCATTTAGCTAGTTTAGATTTCTTTTCTTTTCTTTTTTTTTTGTATAATGGGAGCACACCGGAGTATTTACATAAACGTGTTCATATTTAGATAATTAATGAAACAAATAACTAAGCAGAGTATAGCAGATGGGTAGTAAAGAAATATTCTTAATCGACAAAGTGTAATATAATACATTGGATTATCATTTTTATTGATGACAGATAAGCATGAATAAAGGCATTACGAATGAAAAAAGATTACACAGCATATGCAAAAAATATAAATTTAATGAAAGCGCAAACGGCGTTCTAAGGAGTAAATCGAATGTCGTGGAGAACAATAAATCTCTGCAGGAAACCAAAGATTGATGAGTATTGACCGTGGCTTTATTATTTTATTTGTCTTTTTGTGGTTACGAACACTAGCAAAAGAGAGTTTAGCAATCCAAATTATTGTGGTGTGAATGAGCGTTATCTTTGTATTTTTCGCTAGCATCGATTATTTGTGTGATATTTTGTAATGAATAATGTTTTAATGAAAGCTTATGCATAAATAAACTCTTTTAACGCTTGTACTTTCGTTTACATACACTTGAAACCTTTTTGTTGCGGGTTAAACACATTGAGGATGTTGCTTACTAACGGTCAATGATCAATCTATTGGAATGAAACAAAATTGTATTTTTCTGAAAGTTTCAATTATATATCTATAATAGATCACTTTCGTCATGATTATTTGAAAAAGGTTTCAATGAATAGACAAATCGCACGTAACTTTCATAGAAATTAACGTTTATGAAAGTATTACAATGAATAATGGAAGCTGTCGATCACGAAATGTTTGTACGATACGATCGAAAAGTTGTATTGCACATTTTATTTAGTGTCGTATACTTTTAGGAAACTATCGAGTAATTTATATTTGTATGCAGTATAATACATGTGAAACTGTTGTATCATAACAGCAAAATAAAGTGAAAAAGTATTTATTACACTTAACGAATTCAAAGAGATTCAATATGAATTGTTGAGTTGTATAATGTTAATGTATGAGTTGATGAATGCAATAAATAAAAATCGATTATTTTTATATTTTTATTTATATAATTATATTATTATCCCATCCTTTTACATAACCAGATCATCTAAAATTTTCACTGTTATCTTAATAATAACAAGAAATTAATATTTTTATTTTTTATAATTGTAAAAAATAATTTTATTTGCATGTAAAGATTGAGTACGAAATATAATTTACATCTTAATATAAGAAACAGAGCTTACATTAATAGATAAATTTTCAATTTTAACTCGAAATTGTGTATTGTATTTAATATTTATTAAAAAAAAAACATTAACTATTAATTAAATTCGATAAAGCTTTGAAGCATAAAAATTATGTACAATATATTTTGCAGTAATATTATCACAGTAAATTAAACAGATTTTTTCACGAACTTTGTACATGAGGTGATGGATTTTGTGAAGTTATCATTATTGAACCACTTTGTTGCCAACCCTCTATGGCTTTGTTTACTATTACTTCTGAAACTTCTTCCGTTATCTGCAATAAAAAAATAATTCTAAATATATTGTATTTAAATTAAATATATAGACATCATTTACAAATGTTCTTAAATAATACTTGTAAAACAAATTTATGTTCAAGTCACTCACGTTATTGATAGTCTCTATGACTTTCTCTAAATTTTCACAACGTAAGATACATCGTCTTAATGTAGTTAACATCACAATTGTAACAAAAACTAAAATTCTATAAGCACCAACTGCAATTTTATCCCATATTCTACAATGTATAAAATAAATTCAATCAATATTCTATCAATTTCAAAACCATTTTATCCTACATTAAATTTAATACTGTAAATATGTTACGCATTATTAATTTTTTGAAACTATTCAATAAAATTTATTAACATGGTTTACTACTAAAGGAACGCTTTCATCAATCCAAATACACATACTTGGTTATTGAGCCATTACTTATAGTACCAGCAAAACACGAGTGATACCAAAACTCAAAAGGTAATGTTTGCATAGATTCTATGCTTATTAAATGATTATAAAGCTCATTATCCTCTCGCTCCAACATTGAGCAAGTACATTCTTGTAATCGGCCTACTTCACCACTAAATTTCTGTATTTGATCCAAAAAACCACTGAGAATCCAATATACTTCCACAAGTTTTTCTTGTTCCTGATCCACAACACTGATATTCCAAAGACTTTCTGCCATTTTACTCATGGCTCTAAAGAATATTAATTTATTGCCAATCTTTATACAGATATAAAATTTAATATTATTCTTGAAAAAATATTTTATCAACTATTTTAATCCAGGTTATATATTACACATAAAAAAATTTTTTATATAATAGGCACGTTTATATTTTAATAATTGCTAGTATAAATATTTATCCTTTAGTTCTTTAAAGTTTCATGATATATATATATATATATATATTATAAACATTTACATTTGATCATTAACACAATTAATGCTATTTAGCAAATTTTTAATGCTTAAATTTAATTAAACTCCTATAATTATGTAGCATTATTTTTATATAATAATATTTGACTTGAATTAATCCAATTAAACAAAAAATAGCATTCAGTATTATTGAATTACAGATAATACAGATGCTTAAGCAATAAATATTGAACATCAGTATTAATAATTGGTAATTCATTCAATATTTAAAATAAATGGTTTATATCTAATTAAACAGATTAAAAATTTATTTCCATATTTAATTCAAAAACAAAAATATGTGCAAGAAACATACTTTAATAATTGAGTTTCCAATTGAGAGCTGATGTCAATTTTGGCTGTTCTATTTCTTAAAAGCCACATCATTAAAAACATTTGATAATGTTTTGTTGAATCATCAGTAATTTTTGTATCTCTTAATGCTTTTCTCAAATCATTAAATTCAGATGTTCGTTGAGTCATCACGAAATTATGGCTTTCTTCATATACAGGAATTATACCCAGTAAAATTTTCCATAATAAATTTCTATACATTACTGGTACAGTGAATCTCAAGCAAAATTGTTTTAATTTGGCTTTATCAAAAGGTCGATCTCGTAATAACATTTCCAAAGATTTCTTTTCTTCAACACTTCGAAATCCCACCTTATTAAAAGAATAATTATATTTATTAATATAATCAATGTATCAATAATACCTACAACTATAAATTATAATAAGTTTTCAAAATAAATAACCGAGAGAAATATGCTAATTCATATTCATATTTCAAAGGCTATATTCATAAATAAATGTATAACTTATTATTGTTTAACTATTATGTACTTTGCTACATGAATTTATCATTAAAAAGGTTTTAATTACCTTTTCATAATAAGAAGATCGAAAATTACGCTCATCAATCATATTCTTTTTAAACACTCGTTAGCTATAAATTTTTAGGTTATATTTATAAATAAGGCTATGAAGGTGCTATTGAATCAACTTTATAAATTTTTCACTGTAAAATACATTTCAATCTATATTTTTAACTTAAATAGAAAATCCACACATATATACAGGAATATTTAAATTATTATTATTAAATCTTACTTCTGTGCAATATTTACATAATGAATATAAGATAATCATCACACATATTCATAGTTCAGCCAATCCCTTTAAATGTTACTTTCACAAAATACATTCGAAATTATTACATACATGTAATTAATACATTAAATTCTAAGTAATCATAATATTTGTAAATTTACCCGAAAGGAGATATTGTTTATAATTTCAATATAATTATATTTAGAAATTGTGTATATACAATATGAAATCAATAATATTAAATACAAATAAAAAATATATAATCTTGAATATTTATTTATTTTATTAACACTTCAAGAATATTTTCTTTAATTTTATAGTATTTCTGTATTACTGTATTATCAAAATGAATAGCTAATTTAACTACCATCAAATTGTTTCTTGCAATTGACTTATATAAAATAAGTTTTATAAGTATTATTGTTTTTAATGTGTATGCATGTAAGAATATTATATTATTAAATTACATTAAATTATATATATAATATTCGTTACAGAATTGCATAAACAACAGAAAAATAAAAAAGCACACGTGATCTACTATATAAATATAAGATTTTTTATCCAAAGTTATATTGTATAAAATTGAAACAAATTTATATATATATATTTTTTTTATATATTTATTCACCAGACAATTAATATTTTTTTCGTTATATAATAAAATTAACATTAATATCATTTGTTGTTAATAATATCAATAATATTTTAATTAATAGTGTATCTGAAAATATCGATACAAATTACAGATTCTACGATTGAAACCCAATTTTTGGATTTTAATACCAAAGTAGGTATATTAACAAAAAGTTAGATATCATACATTATGAATAATAGTATCAACTGATTTATGTTTGCATTTGTAGTTTCAATTGTTGAAAAACAAAAAAGTTTAATTAATAATAATTGCTGTTTTTTAAGAGAATGAAGATATTCAATGGCATTTAATATTGTTGTTATGTATTGGTCAAAATTATAAGTATATAAACATTTTATTATTGAAAAATCCTATATAGCATTAATTTTATAAGGCAGTTGGCTTGATACTTTTAAACATTTATATCGAGCAAAAATTAATTATCTTAAAAAGCTATGCATTTAATTGAAATATATATATATATATATATATATATATATATATATATTATATACTGTCTTCAAAAATTTATGTAATTAGAAGGATCGTTCAAACTAAGCAAGCATGCTACTGCTAAACACGCGCGCGCGCGCGCACACACACACACATACACAAAACATAGTAAATATATAATAAATACACATTAAATTTAGTATAATACATGAAGAGATTATTTATTTGAGTATGTAATCATATTTAACTATTTGCAAATATATTATTAATCCTTTCAACTCTTTATATTGAATTCCAAATTTTAATGCAAGTTAAATTTTAAAGCATGTCACATTATAGAATAATAAAGGCAATATTATAATGAAAATTACAATAAATTGTAAAGTAGTACCTATAAAATATATATAACATATATTGAAAATATGAATAATAATATACATACATTGCCTCGATACGAATTCATATTGTAAATTAATTAAACTTACTTTTCTAAATTTTTGTTTGTTTTAGATAATAATGGTTTTATTTTTAATGACTACTTTGCAAGACTTCAGTTTATGTGGAGACACTTTTCTGTTAATTAAATGTAAATTAAGTTATTGATATTTTCTTCATCTATATGAAAACATGGAATTATATTATTTGAATAAGTGTTAATTCAGTATTGATTACCGATATCTCTTTATTGAAACTTATTTCTCTTATATATATATATTTTTTAGTACTTCTTACTTTTTGGATTTTCTTATTATTGTAAATTTAATAAATTAAATTAATGATACAGTAGTAATTGATATCAAATAATAGTTTGTACAAAATATATAAACGTATGTTGCTTGGATTATATTACAGCTCATATTTAAAGTTATGGATTAAAAAAAGTTTATATTTATAATTTGTCTTATTTAAATACTTTATATAAAAACTTTATATAAAAAATTATGTAATTATATTTGAGAGTAAATTAAATAAAATCCTTTGAAAACTTAAAAATTACTATTTAAAAAATTGAAATGGTATTGTGTTTTAACAAAATTGAAGATCGTGTAAAGTAAAAACCTAAACAAAACATAAATATAATTTTTTTCGGATTATACATCAATATTCCTATTATAAACTATAATATTAATATTTAATTTTATTTAGTAATGATCTGTATTATTCCATGAATGTACTAAACCGAATATGATATTTTATGAAAAGATAAGTTAGATTTACAGCACAATTATATAAAGTTGAATTATAGAAAAAAAAATTGAAAACCCTTTTTATAAGTTACAAAATTATGATATGATTAATATCAATCAAATTAATTAAATTATGATAAAAATACTGAAACATCTATAATTATATTTTATTTCGTAGGTGACTCGGCCATATGCTAAATATAAATGTGATATAGACCACCAACAATTCAAGTATATAATTAATTATTAATTTTATTACAAATATTTGCTAAGAAGATAAAAAAATAGCATTGAAATTTATAAGCACAATATAAAATCTGAGCATTTGAAAATGGTATCTAAATTAAATATGGTCTCTGAAATTATATCAGGAAATATATTGGTGATTTACTTTTTAAATTGAATACTCATATTGACAATGGTTCTTGAAAATAAAAATATTGCAAAGCTTTTGGTATTTACTTACCATTAAATTTAACAATATTATATCACATGTATATTCTGATAGATTTTCAAAAAGTGATAAGTATATTTGATTACATTATCTTTTAAAGAATGATAATAGAATATTTCGAAGTATGTGCAGACTTTTTTGAAAAATAAAAATTTTTTAATATTAACCTTTTAACATTTATTAAGAAACTCAAATTATGTAATATAAAAGTAATATTACAGTAATATTAGACAATAAAATTATATTTAAAAATAGAGATAAATAATAATTTGAGAAAATTTTTTAATTTATAAATATACTTTTTATTTATAGTATTTATAAAGTATAAAATTGATTTTAAACAAAATACAAGTTCATATCTTATAGCTTAATTAATTATTTTATTTTAAATGTTGTGAATTCGCGAAGATTTTTATATAAAATAATAAATATAATAATACGGCTATTAACATTTGTATACTCATTAGCAATGACATTTTATAATAATGTACATTAAGAAATAGAAAAAGAAAAAAATATTAAAATACTTTAAATAGTAACTTATTGAAATAATGATTTGGTATAAATAATCGAGTTTATTTAATGAATAATGTTACATGCAAATTTAATAAATCCAGTATTTTGTAAAATTTGCATAATTAACCAATCAACCAATTAAATTAAAAGTCTATTGAAAATTAAAGTTATGGACAAAGATTTTTAGAATAAAAAAAAATGATGGTGGCTTCATATTTTTATAAATTACAGCCATAAATATTGCTTTTGTGCTTTCAAAGCCAGAAGAAGGAATACAATAAATACTGTAGAGAAAATAACCTTCAGATGAGTAATAAAAATGAAAAATTTTTGATAAATAATATTCTACACGTTATTTTATATTTATACATCATTACATATGTAAATAGTGATAAAATCTCTATTTCGTTTAAATTATTTGCGTAATTTAAACGTATTTTTCATTATTTTATCGATAAATAATTTTATTTCCATGTTTTTAAATGCATAGAATAATATATATATGTGTGTATATATATATATATATATATATATTATATTTAACTAGATCGATATTAAAACATATAACTTGTATTTTTATTTGTATTCTTTTACATAAAATAAATGCTTATTAAGATAATTTTTTTTTTTAAATTTGAACTAGTTATATAAACATTTACAGATAAAGTTCAAAGTACGTGTTACTATGATTATGTTTAATATAAAAGATTTACCAAATTTTCTATGCCTTTTTAAACATTGATTTTTTAGAATAAAAAATAACGATATCAATGATCGAGTTGTTCTTATTACACTAATAATATAATAATATTCTAATAGAAAATAAAATTACAACTATATAATAGAATTAAATAAAATAATAATACAGATTTACGTTTAATACTTTTTTTTATTGTTAATAGTTTCTGTTCCAATTTTAACTTAATTTCAATTTAATATTTCCCAAGTTAAAATAAATATAGCATATTATTTTTTATTATATTATTATAAAAATCACCGTTTTTATTAGTAGATAATGTTAAAATAAATGTATACTTTATTTTTTGGTTGTCATTGTAATGTAGTTTTCATACGATGAAAATGTATAGGCTTGAATTTTACAAATTTCAGATTTAAAATTAATGAAAATCTTTCATTACATTTTATGTTGAAAAATATAAAATTTAAAAATATTTGAATTATCAAAAATTCATGACACCACACGAATGAATTATTTAAATGCAATTTTTATGTATGTATTATTGGCATTTATAATGTTTTACTTAAATTATAAAATAAATAAGCTATATAAATATGCACGATTGTAATTTTATGACTTTTTAAAAATTTTTAAAAATAATTAAAAATAATTTTAATCCCTAAATTTTTTGGAAATTTTATGATTTTTTTGAAATTTAGAATGGAAATTATTATTTTAATTAGATATAAATTATAAAATGCTTATGCGATATTTACATATACCAATAAAGTAATACAAATGATATTTTATATTAAGAATTCAAATTATTTATTCATATTTCATTAAAATTATATGCCCGAACGTATACAGGCTCTGGATGTTCACGTTTGCATAATTCAGCATGGATTTTAAAAGATTTTGAATATTCGCAGGTGAAGGAAATTGTTCGAAAATTAATTTATTTGATATATTCATTCTTTCCAAAGAAAGTGAATGCCATTCAACTTATGTTATCCAAAAATATTGTTATTAATTAGGAAATTTTCGAAATTGCGCATCTCTTATACACACATTTTCACATATCTAACGTCCCATAAAAAGATAATGTCAACGCATGCCAACTTTTTAATTGTTGCCGAAAACACGTGTCCATATATATAGATAACGTAAAGGTTTAAATATAGAGAGGTATGGAGCAGGAGCGCAGTTATTCCCTTGGCTTGATAGTGACAGTAAGTAATTCTCATCGGTAAGTCAAATGAATACGGGATTTTTTGTTTTTTTTTTTTGGTTTTAGTTATTCGGGCCTTGTAACTTTTACTCCGTTAGCAAATATTTTTACGGTTTATGGTTTGACCTTCTTTAGAAAATTAAGCAATGACACCGCACCTTAAAATATAGTATAAAATTCCTTTTACATTCAAAATATCAAAGATGCGACGAGGAATTATATTCATCAATAATTTTCATGGATATTGAATTTGTTTAAATGTAATTGCACAATATTATTTTCTTAATTTTTTATTAATGTTTAATGAAGCACATGTATTTGAAGTCATTGTACGAATTTCCATATTTAGAATTGCAAAAATGACTTTTATCTAACGGAAGGTTACACACATCTTCCTTTCATTAAAACGTTCTTAATCATATTTTTAGGAAAGTTGAGAAAAGAGATAAAAATCGGCAAGAAGATGGATAATTTTAAGATAAATTTGCGGGTAGAGGCGACTTTTCTTGTTATTGCCATTCTAATTGCGAACGTATACACCGCAATATCAGAAAGATGTAGTAAGTCAAAATGCTAATTGTAATCTGTGCTTTTGTTCCGCTCAATCGTAACATAAATTAATTATATTCGTAGCTCAGATTTTAAAGCTGCATTATTATTGGTATTTTTTATTTTTATTTTCAACAAATGCGACATGTCCTAATTGCAACACTGGAGTAACAACATAATCATATTATTTAGTTATTTAATAATTAATTTACTTATTAAATTTATTTTAGAGATTATTTATACGAGTTGAAATAAAATCTTGCTCTGTATAGCCAACGAATTAAGAATGTAGCTTAGAAACTGTGCTAAAACTTGGGAAGATAAAAGTAGGAGACCACGAGCTGAGGTCTTCAATTTTTCCGTTATTTTAGTTGGGGAAAACGCGGTAATAATCGCCCGATTCGATGTGGAAAATCAACTTACGTTCAAGCGTGACAAAATACTAAACTTGCGTAAATTTTAAAGGTAGCATCTTCGACGGAAAATTGATCGTAGCTCAGGGCTCGATGATATTAAAGTACGACCCTGATTTCACGAATCGTGAGTTGCTGGCTAGGTCACCCTTACCAATCAGCCTAGACTACGACCTCAATACCGATGTCCTCTACTGGAGCGACCTGAACAACAGGCAGGTGAACACCATTGCGCCCGAGGTCTTGCAGCCAAAGCTGATTATCGATAAACAAGGTTCGTGGATGCCCAACAGCATTGCCCTCGATCCCTTCGACCACAAGCTTTATGTCCTCGACAGCTTCTCCGGCACAGTACATCTCTGGGACATTGTGCGAAACAATCACGCCATTGTCATCGGATTGAATGTCGTCGAGATCGTGAAAATCGATATCGACGCATATGAGGGATACTTATTCCTGCTTGATAAATATACGGTAATGGTTGTTTATTTAATTAATATTAATCTTTGATTGGTTGTAATTTGAGCATGTACGAAGTCCTGAATAGGTTTTTATATAGAATATATTTATATATATATATATCTGATATGTTTTGTTATCTTGTCTTCATTTACTTTTGCTTATTAAATTGAATTGGAATTGTAATATTTAATTGCAAAAGTTATTGCTAATTCAAAAAAAACTTTTATAAAGGAAATAATTAAATTTCTTTGTGTAACGGATTTTACGAATACGAGATCGAAACGGAAATTAAAACTATTTAAAGATAATTGCGTGATTACCACGAATAAACAGATGAGATAATGTTATTTGTATTAGATGAATATTTATAATAGCACGTAATATAATATGTGCTTGGGAATCCACTCTTGTTTTTATTTTCTTATTATTTTCGAAAGATATTAATAATATTAATTGTACTTTTATCTTTTTATAAATTGTTAATTTAATCTCATTTTAAGCCATAATTCTATTATACGTAAATTATAATCAGTTAACTATATTTTTGATGGGGTTACAAAAATAAAATAAAATAATATAAAGAGAATAAATGCACACGTGTCTTTGAAATAGTAAATAAAATAATATAATAAATTTCAAATTTAAGGAATGAAAAGATATTTTTATTTAAGCATATTTCTTTCGTATGATTAAACGCTATTTGCCTTGTAACTTGCTAATAATAATTTCTTAAGGTGAATAATAGTGAGATATCCTGAATATTGCGAGATTAAGATTAAAGTGTTATCATTTACCAAATAACGTATAAGTTTATATAATTTTATGTAACAGACTAAAGTTAACAAAAATAATCTTACTTTAATATAAAAAATATTTTTTTCTTAATTTCACAAAATATTCCATAATCAATCCTTTCCCACAGTTTAAACCTTTTTAGCATCTGCTTTCCCAAACACGTCAAAGTTTAGCGTACACTTAAACTCATAACCAACCACCTTATAAACAACATCTAATTATCCAATATACCAATTCAAATAAGCAAGCAACTATTTTTTTTCCAAATTTTAAAAATCACAATCAAATTTGGCCAGCTCAATTATTAGTCAAGCACCATTTTCTTTCCAACATAAAATTTAAGCTTATCGCAGATATTCAGAACGGACTTGGACGGCGAAAACCGGCGTGACATCTACAGAGAATTGTCCAGCAATTCCAACGACGACATTCAACAATCGTACGGCATCCCTATCAGTGTGACTGACTTCACTCTCGACGTTGAGGGTAAGCGGGTCTATTGGGTGAGCTCGCAGACCCGGCGAATCGAGAGTTTAGACTATCAAGGCCAGAACAGGCAGATTCATTACCGCAGGGACTCGGAGCAAGTGGGCTTCCAGACTCAGGCTTCGCTCACTTTCCTCAATAACAAGCTGTACTGGGCTGATAACTTGAATAAAGTTGAGAAAATTGTTTTTCCCTTTGAGTTCGATAACAAAGTCGCGAGTATTTGCATCTGAACTGTATTTACGGATGTCAATATTATGCTATCTCATAAACGTTTAATGTAAAGATGCGAACCTATGAAACATATATAACATTTCAAAGTAGCGTTTTAATTAAAATTCATGCTTTTCTGATAAGATTATGAACAGTAATTTGAAATAAGCTTGTTATTTCCATGTGTAAATTCTTCACAATGTTACCTAATCATAGGGTTACAACTCGCTTTAAATACGTATACATTTAATTATATTTAACTACACATTGACATAAGTACTAATGATTTTAAATGGGTATTTTTATATAGAACACCATTGTAATAGATCTAAATCAAGATACAAGTCAAGAATTCCGTAAAAATCTAATGGCCATCAAAGGAATCAGCTGTAAGAATAAATTGCAACCGCGGAAAAGTCCGTGTGCACGAAATAATGGAGGATGCGAGCAGGTGTGCATTTCGTCCAAAAACAGCTACCAATATAGATGCACTTGCAATATCGGTTACAAGATCAGTGTAAACAACAAATCTTGTGTTCCTGTGGAAGATATGCTTCTGTTTACATTGGTAAAATTAATTATCGCATTATTATTAAATGTTTCTATGCTATCATATTCCTAATGGAAATAATGCTTTAAATAAATGTAAGCACTTATTAGAAGGACAGTTTTTGCCGTTAAAAATAAAGAATAGGTTACCAATGAGTAAAGTATATTAAATTTAATTATTTATCAATTTGATTGTCGTTGTTAGTATCGTGATTTAAACTAGTGCATTTACTTAATTATGTTATGTAAAATCTTTATTATTATCAAAACCATGAATAATTCGTTAGTAATTATTGTCTCTGGGTATATGTGTGTATGCGTGTGTGCGTATGGGCGTGTGCGTGCGCGCGTGCGTGTGTGTATGTGTATACATCTTTATTTATAAATTAATGTGTTGAAAATTTTTAATGCTCATTTACTACTAATATTTAATTTGTCTTTATTAGTCAAGTTACTTACGAGGCGTGATCATGAATGCCAAAGAGAATACTTTCATAGATGCAATCAATCCCTCCAATTTCCAAGTTGGAGCTGGAAGTACATTAGATTTAGATGCCAAGAACAGAGAAATATACTACAGTAGTGTTTTTCCAAAAGATCAGCTGCATAAGATCAAGTTAGACTCCAAGGAGGACATAATCATGTTGCCCGATCTACTTAGTAAAAACGTTGGCAAATTCACTTACGACTGGATAACTAAAAACCTTTACTATTTTACTTACTATTATGCCGACATGACGACTCTTAGTGTATTGAATACCGCAAGCTTTTCATATAGCAAGATCCTCATCGACAATGTAACGGATTTGGTTAGAGATATCGTGATTCATCCGAGTAAGGGTTACCTCTTTTTCTCCCAGACGACTGATAATGGCGATATCATCAGTCGAATGGCGCTAGACGGTTCAAGCCTCACCGTTATCATCACATTACAAATGTCAAATTGCATTGATGGATTGGCTATTGACTATTCCGATGATAGAGTATATTGGATCGACAATTGTGTAAGGGATTATGATTTATGATTTATTTAAATTAGATTATGATTTATTTAAAAGTTTAGAAGAATTGCGTTTTACGATACCAGCATAGAAAAGATATTTTTATGATTTTATATTATTTATATTTATTTATTTCAAAAATTTCTTTATAAACACTTTAAAGTGAACATACGTCTTTTAAGACAATTAAGTGTCCATCGCGATTAATAATAATTAGTAAGAACGGAAAAACCCCTGTTCAAAATAATTTCTTCAATAAATACTTTTTCATCTTTATCTTAGGGATCAATGGATCCATTGGGATATGTTCAAATTCGTCATTCGAATCTGTACGGTGAAGATATTCAGGATATAATAGTGCCGAAACGCTTGGAACGCTTAACCGACTTAGTCGTTCACAACAATATGGTCTTCATAACTACTGGCTCCAATATTGATGTCATACATCTCAACAGGAACAGGCCCATTCACAAGATCGATCGGTTAGAAATTGGGCCAGTGGACAGCCTCAGCAGTATTAAGATCTTTGGACGCGATTTCCAAAAGATCGACAACAATAATCCTTGCGCAACTGGTCATTCCTGTCAGAAATTCTGTCTCACGTCGCCCAATCACAATAACACTTTGAGACTGCATGGACGTTGTGCCTGTCCGTACGGCGAGAAGTTGGGCAATGACCGGAAGTCTTGTATCGATAACCGGATAGAGGAACCACCCTTCCTGCCTTGCAGCAGTGTCTCTTATAAATGCCAGAAAAAGACTAAAAATCCACTTTGATTCACAATGCAGGCGTTATGAAACGAAATGCGCCTGACCAAATTTTTGAGAGATTCATAAATTTGTAAATTCAAGTGCTTATGTATTGGGAATTTACAGGATATTGAACAAATGATAACTGTTAGATGATATACATTTGAATCAATTATTTTTTGTTTATTGACTTCCTTAATTCTTCTCATTTTAAATTCTGATTATAAATGAAATGGAAATATTATATTTGAAACAAATAAGCGACTTGAAGAATTCTAAAGTGTACGTAGTTATAAAATATATTATTATTATTATTTTTTTTTTTTCGAAGATTAAATTCAATTTAATATGAGTTTTGCAAAAATTTCATTACATTTGTAATCAAAAATATTTTCATATATCCGAGTCTAATTACGGATAGAAGAATTTCTTTTTAATATAATATACGCATAAAGATTGAAAACTATAAAAGGAAGCTAATACCTTTTCATTAACATACTTTGATATTTAAATAATAAATGTCCTCGCCAAAAAAAAAAAAAATTATGATGAATAATATTATATTATTTAAAGCTTTTTTCTATTGTACATAACAGTACAATTTGAAATTAGACCTACTTAAAAGTTTATACTCATGTAGGCTAGACAATAACTATTAAATTCTCCAAAAATTATTCCAAGTACAATATAATATAAACAATTTAAGTAATGAATAATTCAATTGCATTAGTGAACTCAAATTCGTATAAATTTAGATTTTATATATGTAATAACAAAAAAAAAAAGAAAACTTATTGAGTTTTAGATAATGTATAATAAAACTATTATATACAATTTCTTGAAACACTTGTTTCAATGAAATTCACCTTATTGTATTGATGAAACAAATGTCAATATAAAAATACAAAAATATCATATTTAATATTTTACATAGATAAATTATTCAAAATACTTAATGTTGCCATTCGGCCATTATTTGGCCATATTTTGTAATTCGTAAGTTAAGTAAATTACAGATTTTAATCAACTAATGTCGCTATCGTTCCATAATTTAAATAAATTAATCCTCAAAATATGAAGATGTGCATGTTTCCAATAATTATACATAAAGCTGGTAATAAAATTTCGATAAATAATATATTTTTTAATAAGCAATATATAATGCATTAATGATTTTCAAAGAACTTTAAGTAATAAATCCCTAACAAATACAATTAAAAAAATGTTTAAACAGTACAAACGACACAATAATTTGCCTAGTAACCGATTCTATATTATTTTCAATATAAATTATAGTCGCATGAAACTGAAAGAAGTTTAATAATAAGAATATTTTTAATTTCCCAAATCACATAAATATAACAGATTAATTTTACTATCGAAAGAAAAATATATAAGAATTTTATTCTATTTATAAAAATTCTTATAAATCGATGGATACTTAAAAAATTAATCGTATTGAAACATAAACAAAACTAAAGTATTTGTATTTTAAGTAAAAAGTTTTTATGTAATCATCTTTTCGGGTGCTTTTTTTATGTTTTCAATGAAAGTTGATTACAAATATTTTTATTTATTTTCGAAAATGTTATTATAGAGAGTCATTTCAAGTTTTAGCAAGAATTTTTGTAGTGATAATATAAAAAAATGTACAAATCAAACTCAATTATATATTATATTTAACTTCATAAAAATGTTAATGTATTTTTTTGTAAAAAAAAAACTAATTATAATTAATCGTTAAAGATGCAAAATTATTGCTATTAAATAGATTAACTTAATAAAAATGTCTATTATTTCAGCTGTATTAGTTTGTCTGTATAATGAACCGAAAATAGTTCTTATTAGCATATTTTCAAAAAACAAAGTCTGTTTCAAATACCACATTATTTTAATAAAGTATTATAATTATAAATTGCAAAATAACAAATTTTGTTATCATAGAATTTCTAAATTATTGTTTTAATGAATAATCTTGAATATATTAAATCTTATAAATACATCGTTATCATTGTGGAGTCAAATTCAATATATATGAAAATGATTCGATTGTTAAATTCATTTAGTTCTCAAAATTAAAAGTATTAAACGTTATCAGATTATTTCAAAATAGTTGTTAAAAGGTAATATTCATAAATTTATAATATTATTTATGTAAAATATCGAAAACTAATAATCTCTATGCAAATGAAAATATTCATTATACTTTCTACCGATTTTTTCTAATTTATCAACAAATTAATTTTTTAATTATGGCTTAAGATTTAGTTTCTATTCAATATCTTATTTCCAATATGTATTGATATTTTATCCTTATAAAGACGATATTTTTTAAAAGGCAATTTTTATCGTAGAATAAGAGTTATTTTTACCAAATAAATGTAAATTTTGAAGCTATTTTTATCTAAACTTTATTCTTATAATACAATATATGTTTGTTAAAAGCACTTTTTTGTAATTTAATACAAATGTGCAAAATGTAAAGGTCATAAAAAAAAATTAAATAAGAATATAGTTGATTTTCAGCATACACATAATTTTAAAATTTCGTAAAATTTATTATATACATAAGTACTTTTTAATTATTAACAAGACAAATCCTGTTAATTAACTCAAGCACATGTGTGTATATAATATTAAAAATGAAATTTATTAAATTATATTCCATTATTGTTTCATTATTAAAAGTTTTAATTTCTTACTTTATATTCAAATATATATTTATAATATTTAAATGATATTTATTAAATTTTTCTTAGATCCTAAAAAAATAGTAATATAACAAAATTAATTGAATTTAATTTTAAGATTCCTAATTGAATTAGTAATATTATAATAAAAATAATATTTTAAGGAAATATATAATAATAATAATAACAATAAAACATTATTATTATGATTATATTATTATTATATTATTATTATATATTTATTTTGTTACTGGCGTAATTTGCTTTCATAGAAAATACTTTTAATTACGTAATATTGTACATAATCTAAAACAATGATTTAGAGATATTATTTAGCTGAATTAACAAACTTTGTTTGAGAATTTAAGTAATAGTATGTTCGCATTATTCAATGAAATTTTCGTTAATATAATACCAAAAGAAGTTAAAAATAAAATCAATTAGTATGTATCAAGCCCTAGTATGTATCATGTAAGGTATTAATGTTATATTCAATATATGTAAACAGTGAATAAAATATAAAAATAGCAATTAAAAAATAGCTAACATATATACGGGCTTTCATTAAATATAAATATTATTTGTGTTTTAACACTATTATTGCGTTTAATTTGTTATTTACGAAACTAACATAATTTTAACAGCTGCTGAGCCTTACGGTTTGTATCAGGAAAATTATAATGTATACATCCTAAAATAAATTTTAGAAATATTGTTCCTAAATTCCATATAGTGTAATTTATAATTAAATTAAATTAAATCAATACATATTAAATTAACATCTTTATGTTTGCAGTATTTAAAATTGAATTAATTATATGTTTTTACGAATACATGTTTTTTATCACTCATTACAATAGAATACTTATTTTTCCAAAATTATTAAGTTTCAAATGTTTAATTTTCATTACATGTGAATATATATATTTATCATGAAATTAATTTTGTTATTTACTATGTTACTTGTAGGTATATATTTAAGAGTTAATAGAAATAAATACTTTGCTTTAAGTTCTGTGGTTTAAAAATACATTATTAAAAAAAAAATTAATGTATTAATTTCAGGCGATAACTAATGAAGCCTCCAAGCTTTGGAATTTTATTCGTAACAGTATTTTATACAAATAATGTATTAGCATATAATTCAGACTACTCCGAAGAAATACAAGAGGATGGTAAGATAAGTGTTTTCAAAATAGTTTTAATATTTATTTATGAAATTGAAATATTTGCAGAAGAAATGAATTAACTGTATATTGTAACTTTATGATTAAAGATACAATATACAAAAGAGGATAAAACAATTTCTCGACCACATTTTAACATCGATAAATAACACATTTTTTTTTATATTATTTTTCTTATTTTTCTTATATTATTAAAAAATATAAATATATTTTATATTCATACTGGTATTTATAATTTATTTTAAAAATTCGCACACATAGTTTGTATACAAATAGAATAAATTTTAAATATTTTAAATAATTATATAGATATTCAAATATTCAAAAATGTTAGTGATAGATAAATGTATTGTCTCCATACGCATTTTACAATGTTTTAGTATAAAAATAAATAATATAAAACAATCAGTCCTGGTTAAAATTATTAATAAATTTATATTTTTCTTCTTAATTCAGTATTGTAAAATTTATAAATACTATATGTAAATATGTGAGTTTATATGTGTATTTCACAAAGGAGCACATAAACCCCTTATAGACATAAGTATTGCTTATAATCAAGAATTTTTAAATATTGTATATTGTTATTATAAATAATATGTTTATGTTCTTAGAAAATCCAATCGCTCAATTTGCTTATGAAGTTGCTAACATTGCTCAATCAAGAATAGATCAAATGGATGGTAAGTAAATCTGTGCTTCATTATGAAAATGTTATTTTTTAATATATGAAAAATAATTATGTCGACAATTAAATATACATTAGTAAGCTTACATTTAAATATTTTAAAGTGATGAAAATTTGTGAAACTATAAAGTTGAAGCTTTTGTTAGTCCTGGCTGAATTTTATTTAATATTCATTAGTGTGTTTATAAAATAATGTAAGAACAATCAAATTAATTTATATAAATTATAAGAAAATTATTTTTAATAATGTACGTGTTTTTAATAATTAATTATTAATAATAAATTTTTAATAATGACACGTGTAGCATGGAATTAAATGCATTTACATTGCTTTAAGTACCTGTATTGCATCAAGTAATAAAGAAATACATCATTTATTTTTGTTAACTTTTAAGAAGACATTACCTATATAACATACTTAGTTTAAGATTTTATGGTATTTAAAAACGTGTAAATCATTTTAATGACAAATAAATAATCAGTATAAAATATAAACCAAACATCTTTTGAACGCCATTGAATAGATTTTTGTCTATATACGTCAGTGCAATAAATTTTATTAATTAAGTAGCTGCTTGAACCAAAATAAATGTAAGATCATTTGATAACGTGATTGCAATTATTATATAACGTAAATAATTGTGCTCAATATTACTCAAATTAAAATCTGAAAAATTTGAAATTCGATTTTTGAACTATCAACTGGGGTAAATAACAACGCACAAGTTGTTCCTAGACAACTATTTCAGTTCAACTGTCTTTAAGAATGTTATTAAGTAATAAGCAAAAAATACATCGTATTCTTACATCTTGAACTGTAAAAAACAATGTATAAGCACCAAATCGTAAATTTCATGCTTCCATAAAAAGCAAGGGAAAAATCTTTTCTTAACCGTATACTTTGTAACTTAGAGATGTTCATATCAGAGTCAAGCACGACCTTCATCCCGCAATTACTAATAGCCGAGTCACAAGGTGTAAGTCGCTTGAATTTGACGAGCTCAATCCGCTGGATGATCGAGCGATCGGAGAACATCGGGGGATTGGATTACCACTTTGTTCGGGACCAAATGTACTGGAGCGATTTGTCGACCGGAAGTATCTACTTTCGACCACTCAATAACAAATCCCTCAAGTCCTTCAAAAAGAGGACCTTCGTCGAGCGTAGCCCATTAATCTGGAAACCCCGGTCGATCGCCGTTGATTACATCACGGATCAGCTGTACGTCACTGACACTATCGGCAACACCGTCCACGTCTTCGATCTTAATGACAGTCGAAATAGTGTCACGTTCAAGCCTTTCCTTCACAATCCCTTAAATATTGAGCTGGATCCCAACCAAGGATACATGTTTATAGCAGATGATACGAGGGTAGGTACTAATAGAACATAGTCGAATGGTTGATTCAAAATTTAGTCGTAGTATAAATAAATAAATAAATAAATATATATATATATATATATACTAATATAAAATGGACACACAGGAAATATAAATCTAAAATTTCTTAGAATTAATTTATTAAATATTAAAAATATTTGTGTATTTTATGTTAAATGAGCCATTGTCAATATTTATTGCAAATGTAAATGAATATGTAAGTAAATAAACTTTTCTTTACTTTATCAATTGAAATCGTAGTTGAATCGTAGAATCGTAGAAAAACTCGTTATATATGTAGTAATGTTCATGTCAAGTACTTTAATAACCGTATAAGATTATTTTATTATTTTATTCTGACATTAATTATTTCAGAAATTTAAGCAAACAGTATTTATCATTTAACATTTTAAAAGGTTTTATAACAATAAGTAATTTTAATACAAAAATTTGTATTAAAAATGGTTGTGTAAATGTTTGTTTAATTTATATAACATACACTCTGCTGAAAGTATTTCAAATATATCATAATACTATTATATACACTAAATAATGTTTGAAATACAGAAAAATTCGATGAAAGTACAAAGCATAATAATATTCATTAAACACAAAGACACTAAACTCTATCTCAATAAGAATATCGCTCTTAATAAAACTGTGATAATATGTAAGTTTACATATTTTGTATATATAAGATTTATAAGTCTTAGAATAAAAGGAATGTAATAGACTAATAAAAAATTTCATATTGTCTTTCTTGTTCTTATGATAAAGTCGTGTAATTTACTGACCCATAATGCCAAAATGAGAATGTACCTTTAAATTAAGTATCTGAAAATCGAAAATAAAAGATTTAATTTTTTCATTTCATTAGCTGATGAGGGCGAGCATGGACGGGACATCGTCGAAAGCAATAGTCGAACAATCAGTGTACTTTATATCAGCGGTGACTCTCGATCTTGACATGCAGCGCGTCTATTGGTCCGATCAATCGTTTAATCAAATAAAGAGTGCAAATTATGATGGCACACAAAGACGGGTAGTCCTGAAGAATGAACTAGGTAAGGTGTACAATCTTCTGGGAATGACAAGTATTACCTTCTATGACTCGCAGCTATTCATATATGACGAAACCTGGCACACCATTGTCAGCATCAATGTAAGTGGGCCTGAGCAAATTGCCAATGATAGTACCTACGTAGTTATTTACGACTGGCTCATCGTCAAGGCCATACGCCTCGTTCATCCGTCTAAGCAGAAACATTTCGTTAATCCCTGCGCCAATGAACAATGCAGCGCAAGGCAAATGTGCTTTATCAGTGCTAAGGAAGGTGCGAGTCATTTCCTTGGGTTCACCTGTGCTTACCCCGATGAGGATGTGTCTGCAAGCTCTTCAACACACCAGTCTTAAGCTGCATTATGCCTGACGAATGATGCTGGAAAAGGGATAAGTGAAGGCTTCTTGAGGAGAGGGATTACGTTAAACTGAGAAGCTGTTAACGTGATTGCGTAAATGGATATTGAGTAGCTGCAATATTCTTGAATTGAAATTCAATAAAAGATTCACCGAGGATTGCGTTTTTTTTTTAAAGCTCCTATGCATCAAGCTTATCGTACATTATTTGATTGTTGTACACTCTTCTGTCCTCATTGTGTTTTAACAATGTATTAGAAATATCTATATTATAAAAGATCTTTTCTTATATATTATAAAAAAATTTTTGAAGTAATTAAATATTTAATATTTGAATACAATAATACTTATTAATTTCGCAAGCCTTTTCAAACTCTTTTTCAGTGAATTTTTTTTATTGTCTAGAAGCTGCGACTATTAACGAATTAATTAATGACTATGAAGTAAAATAAAATTTTTATTTTGTAACTTTTAGTTTCTTATTTTATAATACTTATTATTTTTAACTTTTATAATATTATTCAACATGTTTAGAAAATACTGTTTTTTAAAGAATAACACAACAAATTTAGATCGCATATTCGACAGTAGCTGTACATACTAAAGAATAAGTATTACCGATTATTGTACAGATTTTTGATATCTTAATAATAAATTCGAAAGCAAAAGTATATTATAGTCTGTAGAAGATAAAGTATAAAAATTTAATGTAAATAAAATTAACAGTATAAATATATATTTAAAAGAAAATTTACTTTGTTGAAATTATTAAAGCTACCGTTACATAAATATATTATATTTTTCAAATAATTTCATAAGAAATTTTCATATGAAACAAAATGTTCATATGGAAATATCTATCGAACAAGTTATTGGTTAGTTATTCGTTTAACAACGAATATTTAATTCTTAAATTATCATTATTTGAATATTATTAATTGACTATTCATAAAAAAATAATAAAATAATTCCAAAAAAGAGTGGTAAATAGTTTTTAAGTTTTAAGAACATTACTATGCTAACTTAAAATAGCAAGTGGAAAAAATTAAATACCATCACTTCTGTTCAGGATTAGAGCACTTTCCAAAAAAATTAATTCTCCGAAAATTATAATCGTTATAGCTCGCGAAATCGTTAACATTGATTCCGAAATTTCTCGATCATTCTAAAGCTTTTGCTTGCGAACATACTGTAATGTTTATCTAGTTTCCACCGTCTAAGGCTTGCTTTCGTAGAATTCTCGAAACTTCTACAGTTTTAGTCTCGAAGTCCTGTACAATTCTGCGCATAGCAACACTTGCCCATTGTTGCCAGATGATCAAACTCGCTTGAATATTTAAAGCAAACACGCGTCGAAGCTTACTTACTTGCTTGAGCTACCTAGGAGGAAACACGCTGCATTAAGACGTCACTACATTCTATTTCTCTACTCTGGATCAAGGCGCCAAAACTTCTTTGCTAAATCTTCTCCAAGACGCCACTGCACCACTGCATTTAAATTAATGAGTCAAACGTCTACTACATCTGCTCCAAGACGCCACTGCATGCTAAATCTCGATAAGTGCCATAGCGCGCACTATCAAGATACCCTGATGTATTAAATAATTTATATTTATACATCAAGAGGAGACTCGCATTTAAAACACCATTTACGACATTTCACTTCTCAGTGTAGTAATTTTCCACCAAGCGCACTATACCAAGAGGACCCGGAGATTTACAACCTTCAACCTCAACTTGCAGTGCATGATACCCCTACGTGAAAAATCCACTAAAGAACAGCAAAATCCCAACGATTCTCACTACCAACGTAGAATCATAATTCTGTATTTGCAAATTAAAACTCAATAAATAGCACGAAAAGCAATTGTGTTGATTACTGAATTGAAGCATTAAGCTCCCACTTATTCATACTGTTCCACCAGTAAAATGGTGGATATGGTCTAATCCAAACATCTTGGTCCTTGGACCACCGGGTGATTGGAATTCCAAACAACTTTGATTAAGCGAGATTGCGTGAAAAAGCAGAAAGTTTTTTCTGATCTCTACTTACATTTATACTTGTCGTAAATCGCTAGTATATATCTCTGTCGTATAATATTAAAAACTAATTGCTTAATTTCAAAAAAAGGTCATAATATCTATTCAAATTATTGAGTTAGCTTTTCAAGCACCTAATTTTGTTTCTTAATAAAAATAACATTTTCACACTTTTAAATGAATACGAATGCTTTGCATCTACATTCCTTTAGTTTTGTAGATATTTATATAGATAATTAGATGCATGTGTGCATGTGAAAGAACAGATAACAGATAATATTTGCGAATACAACTTTCGTAATATTTCTACAAGTTTCCCACTAGCTTTAAAAAATAAATTTCATTTTAACAAATCTTTTTATTATTAATATTATTATTTTATAATTTATTTTTCTCCAATCATATTATTTGTTTTTTTGTAATATCTTTCAACCATAAAATATTAATTAATGAAATTACAGTAATTACACATTATAATATTTATCTATAAAAAAAAACATTTGGCTTTGATATCTATTCGTACTATACAATATTATTTACGTAGTTGCATAAAATAAGAAAATTACCATTTGATATATTATGTATATACCAAATTTGTCGCATAAATGAAATAAATCAAATTATGAAGTAACGAACACGCGATTCATGTTCGCGAATCATTATTTATTCAGTTTGACTAATAATTCTTATTGTTTATTAATTCCTATATATGTATACGACAGTTAAAATCTTTGCATTAAGTTTCTCGATTGTATTAAATAACAAATTTCTTTTGAGTGTTAAAACATGTAAGGATTACTATCCACACAACTGCTTTAAATTTGTTTTCAGAATTGGTTAAGAATATATATGAAAGATTTCATCGATTGACTTTTACCCTGTGTAGCATACACAGCTGAATATACAGTTAAATAAGAAATAAAAATATTTTTTATCTAAATTTGTGCTTCCGTAAATCTCACTGTTCTACTATGATTTTACTATGATAATATGATGTTCTAAATATTTAGTGTGAAAATTAAGTTTGTTTAATATCTAAGTTTGTTTAAACAAGATATATTAACATTAATAGTATTACTAACAATTTTATTTAGATGTATATTTGTATTAAATCTCAATATTTATTACTCAATATTAGGTAAATGAGTATCGAATACTTATTCATACTATTATCGATTATAAATATCATAATCATATACTTAAGATAATAAGCGAATGTAAACACAATTTATTATTTTACATTAATTTAAATTTTATTATTTTTTTTTATTAGAATATAAATTATGAATATAAGACATATCTAACAATTATTTGAAATGACTAAAATTGAACTAAATTATTAATATAATTAAAAATATTTTCATTATTATTTGTAATAAGTAATTGTCCGTCTTCTGATATAACAAATAAAATATTCATTTTTATGCAGATATTTTTATATATACTTAAAATTTGTGAATGCTCTGAACCAGTGTTATAAATATATTTTAAAAAATCTTTTAAAACATCCATTGCTTCGTATTTGTAGTTCTATTTTTATAAGCCAATAATATTCAAAGAATTCAAACGTATTCATTTAATGTATATTCTATAATATTTCTAAAGCTACACGTAAACATACACATACACGTACATAAAGTACATATTGATATGTTAAATATATATTAAATATATTGATTCATTTTGAAAAAAATTATCATTCCCGATAAATATCTATTTTTTTTGTATAAAATACAATATTGTAATTTTTAAATTAAAAATGAAAATAAACAAAAAATTAAAAATTGAAAGAAAGTAAGTTTTTTTCCTAAGCTACATATTTAATAATAATGATCTTCATTGAATACTAAAAATAATTAAATTTTTAAGAACTATTTTGTTATAGTACGAGTTTGGTTGTAACATTCTGATCATTCATTGTAAGTACGATGCATCAAAATTTTATTAAAACAGTTTATGTTGCGAGTTTTATTATAACTGTCATTGATACTAATGTTTATAATAATTATTAATAATTTTAAATTATTCCAAATAACAGTCACTGAAATATTAATTTTAATATAAAAAATAAAGTTTAGATTAAAAGTTGATAAGTTGAAAAACTTGATAAAATTAAATATTTATAAATAATTAAATTATTTATATTATAAATAAAATACATATTAAATGGATCAAATAATATAAAATTAGTATCATCATTATTAATAATATTAATCTGTTAAAATTATAAATTTTATTTAAAATAAATTTGATTTTAAAAAAATCTTCATATTTTTCTATATTTTTAATACAACATGATAATAATACATTAAAATACATTATAAAAAATGAAAATATAAATATATTTTATTTGCAATATATATTGCTACGCAAAACACAAGTAATAAGTTAAATGTTGAAAGTTTAAATCATAAGACTCCGTTTGCTATACTTATTACACCGCTTAATAATTTTTTATTTAGATAGAACGCTAATTAACCTTAAATTAAATATTTAATTGATCATGGTAATGTAAGAAATTCTATGTATGAAACAATAATCACAATTTATGCCATAGAAAATGACATAATGCATCTCTATAACATTCATTTACTAGCTGTCCCTTGCATTGACATATATATTCGCAGGAGTAATATTTTCCATTGTAGGTACGTCGTTAATCATGACGTTTATTAAATTCAACATGTCGAGTGTTAAATTAATTATATTTTTAATATTTTGTTTAATTTAATAATAATATCCTACAGGCAATGAAATAATTGATGTCGGTTAAAATTATTTCGGTCGGTGCGCTGATTTTTTCTTAAATTATATTCAAAGTAATAATTAATTGACTAATGTTATTAAATAATGTCATTGATCGACATAGTAAAAATTTCAAAGTTTAATATTAAATTAATATCAAATTTTTTAAACAATGATTTATTTCTTTATTTATAGCAAAAACGTTCGAATGCATTTGATATATTTGAAGAATTTATAACTTAGCTTAAACGAGAACAAAAATCCGTAATTACCGTAATAACAGCAGGGAAGATGCGTTTAAATGAGAAAAAAATTCCAAGACACTAATTTCAGGATTAAAAAGAACGTCAAGTTAAACCTGTTATAAGCATCTACTGTAGCTTTTTAAATGAATAATGAATTACTTTGTCCGTAAAAGGCTACTGCAAATCATCACGTCAATTACAATTTTATTGCTTAGTAAGGTTAAATTTATTATTGTTCATATTTTTACAAAAGAATTAGAAATTTTTAAGTATTTTATAAATATATAATGTTAAATACTTATTGTTAAACGAACCTAATTTTCCTATTTTCATCATGGAAAAGTACTTTTAATAATATAAATATTGTACACAGTAAAAAATTTCTGTTATACTCCTTCAAAAGCCTCATAACACTGAAAATATTTAATATTAAATGTAAATAAATGAATTTGTAGAATATATTAATTGAAATAGATAATATAAATTTAGCAGGGTATAAAATGGTAACGAAAAAAGCTAATAATTTATTTATGAAAATGAATATTTTAGCGTTTATAAATGTCTAGAAAATAAAAGTATAATAAACAAAAATACACGACTTAATCTTGGTTATTAAAGTATAAACATTTAAATGATGTAGCTTTATTAGTTAAAATTAATTGCTATTGAATACTTGATTTCAGAGATGATATCCTTTCAAAATTATATTCGTATTAAAATTAATAATAATATATTTTTAGTGTGTAAAGATATTTAAGAATTCAATATATATTCATGAAAGTCACACAGTAACAGAAATAGCATTACACTTTTTATAATTTCACTATTGTGAACGTAGCTAATGATACCATGTGGAAACTTGGAATTAGGAATAATGGCAAACTCCTGATTAAATGTATAAATCATGGAATAATTTTGTATTTTCTTAGTAAAAATTACGGTGCAAATTGCCTATAAATCACAAATAATGAATAACATTTCTTCTATTTTTATAATTATAAAAAAAAATCAAGAAATATATAGTCATAAATTAATTTAATATTTAATTCTGAACTTGTAAAATAAACTCCATAAAATAAATACTGTTAACCTCAAAATTTAATATTTATTAAGCGCATTACGTGCTTGTTTTAATTTTATTAAAATAGTTGCTTTTTGTTTAAAAATAAATTATAATGAAGTATTCCACGTCACCTCCAGTGAGTCGTTGTGCTTCACCAATATCAATAAGATCAAGCTCATCTTTGCCTATGCCAGCAACATATAGGTATGATATAAATATATATTATATACTTTATAATTATATATAATTTATGCAGAAGAATATGATTACATTTTTATTAAAATTGTGTACTAATAACACCACTTGAATGTTGTAATGATATAATATTCCTAATCAAATTTTAAATTTTAATTCTTTATTTTATTAAATGTTTTTTCTATTTTATTTTATTTCTCAACTCGTTATTTTAGACAAGATTGTTTTGGAGCAGCAACAAAATGCTACAAATATCTTAGGAAACTGTTAAAGTTTGAGCAAATGGATTTCGAATTTGCAGTATGGCAAATGATTTATTTATTTACATCTCCACAAAAAGTATATAGAAACTTTCAAAGTCGAAAACGTATGTATTAATGAATTTTTATTTTTAACAAAATAATATTTATAATTTTTATTACAGAAACTAAATTGCAATTTGCTAGAGATGATCCTGCATTTTTTGTACTATTTGAGTGTTGGTTGTGTATTTCATCAATTGGATTTGCTATAGTTTTAGGACTTGGATTTCTACAATTTATAAAATTGCTTTTATATGTCATGTTTGTTGACTGTATTGGAGTGGGAGTTTTGGTAGCTTCTGTATTTTGGTAATTTAGCTACAATAATTAATAAAGTAACTTTCAAAAATTACATACATAGGAGTAATATATTGAAATAAATAAGCTATATTAAAATTAAATTTTTTAATTCAGAATTTATCTTTCAGGTTTATTACAAATAGGTATCTACGTACTGATCATTCTCAAGATGTAGAATGGGGATACGCATTTGATATTCATTTAAATGCATTCTTTCCACCTTTAGTTATATTACATTTTGTACAACTATTTTTGTATAACAGTAAGTATTAATTAATTTTAAATAATTCAACTATGAAAATAAGGCAGTTAAAATAAAATATTATATTTTAGTTTTGATTAGTCATGATAATTTCTTTTCTCTTTTTGTTGGAAATACTTTCTGGCTTGTTGCAATTAGTTATTATGTATACATAACATTTTTAGGATATGCAAGTAGGTATCATATTTAAAAATATAAAATAATATGTGTAATAATATTGAAATATTTAGGTGTCGAAATACTTCATAAAACACATGTAATACTTCAAGCTGCGATACCAATTACATTGTTGATCTATATTGTCACATTAGCCATTGGTATCAACATAAGTCAGGAAGTAATGAAATTCTATCACGAACGAGTTGTTTAAAGTTAAGTGCTTCCTTTAAAACTGTAAAATATAAACAAATTAATCTTTTAAATGTACATAATTCTTAGATTTTAAGATTTGTTAAAGAAGAATGAATTTGAATATTTGTTAATGGTAACTCGTAAACATCTTGTTAAAAATATGTTTATTTCACAATTATTTTTCAGTATATAAATTAATGCATTATATATAACATTGTGTAAATAATTCTGTTACTGCATAAGAGCGATAAAAAGAAATGTCTTTAATATTAAATTATAAATTTAATTTATGTTGATGCTATTCATAATCCCAGAAATATTTTGTTAATATTTTTAATTATTTACACTTTTACTAGATTGTTGATTGCTCTAGATATCTTGATGTGTTTGATAATAAAACTTTATATTTATAAAACGCATATTTCACAGTAAAGATACTTTAAAAATATTAAAGCCTCAATTAATTTTATTATCCAAATTGATTTGAAATTAATTTAATTAATAGGAAATAAATAAAATCGGTGTATATTTTTTAAGTTGCCTATTCTTTTGTATAACTGCATTTTTTTTTTATGGAAGAATTTTCTAATATAAACTTTCTCTAATCCTGTGTTTTTTCGGGGTATTGAGCAGTCTTTCACATGATTAGGAATCAATATTAAATATGATTAAGGCAGTACATCATACATTAATTTCACTTCATGAATCGACATGAATTTAATGTTATTTTTGAAAGATTAAAATGAAAATTTTTATATATTTTTATATTGCCTTATTGCACTATATTGTACCAAGGAATTTTATTTAATATTCTTTATCTAATATGGTTTATGATTCCACTGCTGCCTGCTTTTTCGGTGTGTTAAGAAGTTTTTCACGTTGTTCTTCTTCCTCTGCAAAGAATATCCTAGTATAAACTATATCTCCTGTGCTAAAGGTTTGACAAGCGACATCCTTGCATTGCGCTTTAAATTCATTTTGAAAAATGTTTTTATTGCCTTGGCACGTACACATATACTTGATTGGCGAAGATCTGGTGCTCTCAGAGGTTTCCACATCACTCGAAGATCCAGTTACTGCAGATAATATAGCCTCTATACGTTCAATTTTATCAAATCCATCCATTAAACCATCTGATAAAATTTCATCTACCATTTGCATCGACTCCATCAAACTTGGTGGTTCCAAGCTTCTAGGAGACACAATTCCACCTAACAGAGTATTGTTAATTATTAAAATTATTATATAATATTGAATACATTAATAATTATATCAAATGGTAATTTATCACTATTATTATTATTGTTAAAGATCAATTTTATCAGAAATATAATTAAAGCAGAAAACATCGGTATTACGTATTATATAATAAAAATATTTTTAGATTTTAAATTTTATTTTATAAAATATTTTTATAAATATTAAACGAAAAACTAAAAGTTTTTATTCCCAATTAAACACTACCATAATCATGCTTAATAAAAATCAAGATTATATGAACAAAATTATTATCTTCATAAGCAACACAAAATATTATTAAAATTACTATTTTTAATCAGAATATTAATTTTTTCTTGCTAAAAGTATATTATATAAAAAACTATAATGTTTGCATAAGAATTTTTAATAAATATTAAGTGAATATATAATGGCTGTAAATAAATTTTTTAAATTGTAGAGCATTTTATATTAAAAAAAATAAGTGATAAAACTATGAGAACTCTGCAAAATATCAAGAAAAATATAACATTGAATTCGTATAGAAAATATATTACTACAATTTTAGTTAAGAATACTATACCAAAAAAAGGAAATGAAATAAAAAACATAATTATTAAAAATAAATATAATATAATAAAAATACAGTCAAGTTAAGCTTGAAAAAGTATTTTAATTTGAGTCGGTTATAGCAGAAATTAAAAATTTTTAATTATCTAACAATAAAAAAAAAAACAATTAAATAAAATTGTATTGTATACATTAAATTACGATTAAACTAAAGCTAAAAGTAATCCGTATTATGTTGCACAGGACAAGTGTAACGAATATTTCACAAATATAAGAAAAATTCAAATCTAGTTACATATAATAATGTCGAGATTAAAATTTTATAGTTAAAAGAGAATTACATAATAAAATAAAGAAATCGGTTCGAAATTCATCACTATTTATATGAAGTTAAAAAAACAAATGAAATCATTAATACTTACAGACCATATAAATATTAATTCAATTTTTGGTAAAAAGTTAGGTATAATTAAGTTAAAACATGAAGTAATATAATCGTAATACAGTATCAATGTATATTTTAAAATTTGTTGTACTATAAATGCATATTGAGCATTAACAAAAATGTATAGAAATAATGAAGAAAAGCAATGTTCTTTAGTAAAAAAAAAAATACAATTCTCATATACTATGAGTACTGTATTGACATGGATTATATTAAAAAATTGTTTTAATAATAAAAATCTATGATTATTATTGTTATTGTTCGTAATAATATTATTTACCAGAAAGGGAATTTTCCGATGTAAAGCTATCCGAACTTGGATATTCAATTTCATCATTTTTATCATCGTCATCATCCTCATCACTGCTGTCATTTTTATCCTGGCCTATATTTTCTAATTGTTCAAGTTTTTTTGCCACTTTATAACTGCCTTTTAATTTTTCCTTTTCTCCTTTTGTAAGCTCTAAATATCTTAGGAGTCTAATTTCCCGATTACTAAGAACAATGTTTTTTCCAATAGTTTCATCCATTTTTCGACGTAAATCTGCGACTTCAGTCTCAATTTTTCGTTGCTTTTTACGTGTTTTAACTTCGTTTGGATTTAAATGCGTCAGTATTTGCTCTTCACATAATTCAGTAAATAGTCTTTGCATCTCCGGTCTTATTAGTCTAATAAAAGGTACGAAGCATTAATAAACTTAAAATTATTAAGAGAAAAATGAATCGAATCTTTTTGCTTACTTAGACATGGCATTATAAATTAAAGGCACAAGACTTTGAATATCACTACTAGCATATACTATCATATCTCTGGTTAATGGTCTTCGAGCCCAATAACGTTGATCTCTTTTATAAATATTTTTTAATTGCTCCTTAACTAAATTGCACGGTGCTCCATAAGACTCACACAGAGTATTTAAATTAGCATTCTTTACTTTATACACTGGTTTTCCAGTATTTTGATATTCTATGACACTGTGTGCAGCCTGAAATGAAAATTTAATATATAAATATAAATAAATAGATTCTGATATTTTAAGAAATAAATTATTACTAAAATAACATTGCATTATTTAAAAATATTATTTCATTTTTACCTGTGTATCAAAGACACTCGTAATAGTAATTCCAAATTGATAAAACAAATTAGCACTATCATTCTTGCAATCGTGAATCACCTTATGTATAAAATATTAAATTATTAAATAAAAAATAACATTAAAAATTGAATATTGATAATTTGAAAAACGTACTTTAATAATATTTTTATTTTCCAGAAGATTTTGCAATCCACCAGATTGAATCAGATTTGGACAAGTAATTAAATCGAACACATACACTTGCCCAGCCATAGTACCTATCTGTAAAAGTGTGAGTTTACCTTTAGGCCCTACATTGATTCCTTCACTATCAAGTGCAACTATAATTTTTCCATCCCCACTTGGCTTTTTGGGATACATAATATCATCTACTATTTGCAAACAATCCCTTAAATTACTAACAACTTTAGTTTGTTGTGAAACTCTAGATTTTAAGGCTTCACCTATCACAGCATTTTGCAAAATTCTATCCCTTTCTGTATTTTCAGCTAATGTTTTTATAAGTAAATTGTTGATTCGTTGCTTTAAAGTTTGTTGTTGAAGGCTTACAGGAGGTGAAATTGAATTACCAATTTCAATGGTATTCATAGTCAAAGAATTTGGTTGAGACGATGAACTATTGGAAGTCAGACTATCAGATTGGGAATTTGGCTGCACAAAAACTTGGCGATTCACAGGCGAATGATTATATTGAATTTTGTCTATCTCCTCACGAGGTTTTTTTCTCTTATTTTTTTCAATTTGATCATCTGCTTCTGAATTTTTATCCTTGTCAAATGATTTAACTTTTCTCGACACGACATTGCTTTGCACCATAAAAATATTTGGTGTCATCTTCAGAAATGTAGAAAGATCTTGTTGAGTCTTAAACATAGTCATGGCCTCTGGGAATTTTTCAATAACTAAATTAAATAATTGCTCGACTGAAATATAAATTTGTTGTTTTACACAACTCTCTAAAAAATTCAGAATTCTGGCAGTCAATTCTGGATCAATAAATATATCTGGTTCTATGTACAGAAAATAAGTTTGTTTCAGTAAGAATAGAATAATTATAAAATTGTTAATTAGTTACATGAGCACATACCTAATTCTATAAATGGCTCTGCTTTCATACCTTCATATTGTTTTAAAATTACATTATCATCTGTGACAACAAATGCATCTGGATATTTTGTAAGAAAATCTTTGAATTCTCGAAAATGCTGGCCTGATATATGTCTAACTTCAGGAGAAGCTTGCGATCGATGGCCTAGAAGACTTTTGATCGGCACTTCAGTTCCCACTCCATATTGCATCAATTTATTTGTAAAATATTCCACCGCTTCTTGAGCATAATTTCGTTTTTTGTTCAATTTGGTACCATCATCTTCTTCCACTACTGGTTGGTAAGTATTAATGCAGACATAATCTCCATCAATTTCAAATAAGGCTGGATATTGAGCTAGAAATTTCTTAAGGCCACTTTGAGAACCACCAGCAATTTGTCTCATTTCTTTTGTGAAGCCCTTAGCACCAAATTGACAACTTAAATCATGCAAAGATCTAGGACCTCCTTTATCCATCAAACGCTCAAAAAAGAAAAGCAGTGTCATATTTCTCACTAATTCATATTCAGAACTGTCCATTCTTTGTAATCTTCAACAGTTATAGCTATAGAAAAAGTTTTTTAATGCAATATGTACTTTAAATATGACATTGAATTTATGTAATATTAAACTATGCACTTTTAAAAAAGAAATTGAACACAGTACACAAAAATAAATAACTTAAGTTTTTTCTGTTTTCTTTTTAATTATAATATAAACTTTATCAAGGAATTACAAATATTTTTTAAATATTTAATTTTAACTTATTAATTCACAAAGGCCATTACAATTTATATGCATATATGGATGTGTATATGTGTGTGTGTGTGTGTGTATGTGTGTGCATATCACACCCATAAATATGCATATAGGCTAATGTTATTTAATTTAATATTTATTAAAATCCCTACTTACACATATTCACAAACATATACAATATATTAAATTTTTATGCGAGTATGTAGATATAGATGTGCCTGTTTGTATTGATTTTAATAGTACGTTTAATTGATCTTTATATTTGCTCTTGTAAAAGAACTTATATAAAATAATTAAAAAGACTTGGAATCATAAATATCAATCATAAATCATAGAAAAATTATTTTACTCATGGTTAAAAATTTTGTCAATATATAATAATTACAAATTAGAAATACTTTATCTTTAACAGTATTTAAAAGGTAATGTATAAGAAATGTAGGCTACACTTAATCACAATAATATGTTTATAAACGGAGTAATGGCAGACGGCCTAGAAACATATTTTTGATTAGAATGTATAAAGTAATTATAATTTATGTACCAACAGAGAACGGAATGCATAATTTCAAAATATTGTCAATTAATGCAGTTCTAATTATGGATATCCAAATTAATTTACATAAAAATTATATTTCAAACTAATTTCACATATTACGCGAAAATTTTCCCGCAATATATTGTGTTAAAAATTGATCACACAAAACATTCACTAATGAAACACACTGCATTAACAAACTTACTTCGATCAAGTCAGGAATTTCTTTCGCTTTCCTGTACCCAAGTGTCTAGATGGAACAGAAAGAGAATTTTAAAGTAAAGGAGAAGAAAGGTCGAAAGAAACGAAAAATAGGAGAAGAAAGAGTGAGTGATGGAGATAGATAGATAGATAGATAGATGGATGGATAGGTAAAGAGAAAAGGAAAGAACAAGAAAGTAACAGACAGAGAGAGGGAAAATAAAATAAAAAGGAATATATATATATGCCCGCTAGCGCGGCTGTTTGTTTTTCACTAGCTCATTCCAATTGTCATTTGTCCAACAATGTTGTCGCTGTCGTCGAATGATCGAGCCGTCGAGAAACGGTGCACACACTTAATCCACCTGCCCCTCGACGTCACCGAGTCGTTCAGCCGCGCCTGTGTGATCTATGATCGAGAGACCCTCGCAAGTGCTTGCGTGTACTACGCTACATTTCCAACACGTACACAGACGCGGATGCTATCGCTGAATATTGTCGAAAGCTTAAACGAGGATGGTACATAAATACATGCATCATCAATAAGGTTAGGTTTGGATTGGAACCGCGCGTTTGCTTAGACAGACGTGGGCTCTCATATGTCCTATCCGGCTATTTCATTGGCGAGGCACAAGGAGCGCTGACGAAGGCTTGCTCCGATTTCGAAGTCGTTGCTCGAAGTTGGGCTCACCTGAGTAGACAAGATGGGAACAATAAGAAGTGAATTTTCATATTCCTGCCGGTGGATGCAGCGACGTCGACAGTGTGGGTGGCTGTTCGCACTCGCCCATATAATTCTTATGTGATTGATGTTGCGCCTGTTTCCGACTCATTTTGCTCTAATGATTTACTTTCACTTTTAGTAGGTTCAATTTCTTAATGTTAAGGTAGGATATTTAGTCGAAACGCTATTTCAAGCAGTTATCTTCCTATTTGTTGGATTCTCTCTTATTAATGAGCTACACACTTGTTGCAACGTTGGTGGGAGCTATTTATAAATTTTTTGTTATTTTTGTAGTCCTTCACTTTTGTACGTGAACCTAGAATCATATATTTTCACCCGACTAAGATAAAAAATTATTAACAGAAGATTAATTGGTCCGTCAATAATTATCAGAACAACTTTTAACATCCGAGTATGTAATTTTACCTTCATGATTTCTTTCTATTAATAAATTACGAATAGCAACCAATTGTATTACAATAATTTTGCTACTTTCAATATGAGCATTAAGCAATATAAATGTAATTTATTGATTTAATCAGACTGTCAAGAGCTTGTAACAAGCCGAAAAATGTATGCCGTTAATCGGACTTTCAATTTAATTTGAAATATACATAGATAATTCTATGTAACAAACATAGAATTGCATGTATTTATAAAGTATGTTATATGAAAATTAATTTTTTATAATGATTAACTGATTTATTGAAATGTATAGTTGGCATTGATTGCTTACTTTGTATTACAATAATATTATCGATAATTTGCAAATGATCGATGTAGTCTCGGATTTATTTCTATGTGCTGGCAACTATTCATAATAAAAATAAAAAATAATAATAATAAACAGTTATTTTCAATTGATTATTAATATTTGCCAGTGATATTAATTTTCTATAATAATATTTTTATTACAAGACTTGAATTTTGTTAGATTAGATTTCTTAAGACCTATAAATTTGCCAGTAAAGATAAAAGAAAATTTTGTTTTAAAATTTAATTTATTTAAATACACGAAATATAATATATTTTTAGTATAATTCTTTTTCGAACGTATTAATTAAAATCTTATAAAATGACGTATTTTTAATATTGCATTTACATGAAACAATGAATTATAATTTTTTTTTTTTTATAAAGAAAATATAAATTTCTATTTATTGTGTTGAATGATAAAACTCAAGAACTTCTAATAATTTAATTATCATAATCTAATTTTATTATAAAATATTTAAAGATAATTTAGAAACAACTTGGTTGTCGCATTAAATGTAATGGTTACAAATATAATTTAAAAATATAACTCTAAAATTATTTTGTATAAAGATTTATTGTATAAAGATTTTAAATTGTGGCATGATATTGATTAATAAAAAAATTATAAAACAAATATTTAAGAAAAATTATAAAAGCAAATTGCTTTAGCAAAAAAAAAATTAGTCTTCTAGTTCTTCTAACAATAGCATAGAAATTAAATGAATTCACTTCTCATTATAAAACTGGATAACAAGAATGAAAAAAAAATTTAATATTAGAAGATGATTTGTTATCATGGGATTTTTATTACAAATAAAAAATTTAGTAATCGATGGTCGTTATAGTAAACTTTAAATTAAAAAAAGAAGTCAGCTTTAATAATGCAAATTTACATGTAACCAAAAGAAATGAACATGTTTCATAAAAATAATTGTAATAGGATAATTCTTAAAATGTTATCATTTACTAATTTATTTTATTTCTCTTTTTTATAAAAACTAGAATATCCAATACAACCAAAAAATTCAAATAAATAATATAAAGAAGTACAATTATTTATATAAAATTGTATAATAGATTAAGAAAGCAATTATTTTAATTTGACACTTTCTTGATTAATTTCAAATATATTGTTTATGGTGTAAATATAAAATCTTAAAAATTAAATATGTAAATGTATTTAAGATATATATCAAATGTGTTTACATTTTTTTAAAAGCTAAAATTTGTATGAATCTTAAGAATCTTAAATCAATATTTCATAATTTTTATTACATAATTGTTATTGATAAAATTTATAAATGACAATTACCGTTTATGTATCTTTGATAATCTAGTTAAAAACAATGTCTTTACTTTTCATGAACTACAGCGAAAAAAATTAATGAGATAAATTTAGAATACTTTCCAGTTGTTAAGTGGCTTAATTAGAAAACTTGTCAAATCAGAAACTGCCCTCAAAGCATGTTTACATTGACGTAGTTTCACTTTTTTATATGCTGAATATATTGTGAAATGCAGGCAAAGTATTACTTTCTTGTATTGCTAGTTGTAGTAGATGTTCTCTTGTTTATCGCGCGGGCGACTCTTTCATTCTCATAAGGGATTAAATTTTATTTTTCTCGTCTCTAGATGACCAAATCTGCCTAGTTGTTTCTTGAATCTTAGGTACATATGGACATTTATTAAAATGAAAATGTGCATATGAAAGTGAAAATTAGTATAAGAATAGTTCCTATAACAATTTATTTCAAATGCATTTGTTAGGTTTAGTAATTTAAAAACTTTCAATTATAATTTTTACACGTAAAAGCACGATAGTTTAAGAATGATTAAAGTTACGATTACAAACATTTATACTACAAACACTATTGGATAATTTATTATTTAAACATTATTTTAATATAAAATTATAATATAATATTGAAAATGTATTTTGCGATTTTAAATTTTAAAATACTTTAATTAAGTGTAGTTGCGTGTATTGTTTTTAGAATTATCTCAAAAGCTGCAGAATTTTTTTTAACAGAACATAACACAATACTTGAATTAGGTTTGGAAATTCTAAGATTCTACATCTATTTTCGGCAATATTACTGATGCTTTTAGCCCTTAAGATATTAATGCCGGCATTTTTCTCAGAAACGTTCATATATTATTCTAAACTAGCTATAATTTTAAAAACGAGTACTCATTTGAAAAAGTGGCATGTTCCGGCTTCCATAATTTTATGTATCAAATTCCCTTCTATAGTTTTATCAAAATCCGGAACCCACATTTCACATTCTTTGCTTGTAAGACTTCCATTCATCCGAGCCTTCATAAATCGCCTTAACTCATTATTATCACTGCAAAGGTCGTAAGAGTTTGGACTAATGATTTATTATCATATTAACAGTAAACATGGGTGTTAATTCAAGATTAAAGGATGCTATTACTTACTTTTATCTATAAAGTATCGAAAATGATACATTGTCATGTGCTATGTACATATAAACTATAAGACGGCTCAATCTTAAGATGCTTTCTAAAAATTTAGCTTTTAATCAATAGTCAACGAATACATTTTACTTTTCTGTATGGAATAAGTGTATCCCGATAAAGATGCTGACAATGATATGATGAAATGTTTCAAATTTTGTTGAAAAAATATGTCTATATAATATATTTATAATACATAAATATGAAACATAAATATATAAATAAATATAGTGTATCATTTATACATAGACAACTCAAAATCATATTTTCTTTGCTATCTTCAAAAGTCTAACATCCAATTTCATTGTAAATTACACATATTAATGCGTATATATAACCATATAATATAATAATGCAATATATTTTAGTTATAAAAAGGACAAAAATTTTATACGTATATTGCCTTAAAATAATTTGCTTACAACTATTTTATCTTACTAACAAATATTTATATTACAATGAAATATTTTAATAATATTGAAAATTTCTTATTGATTTAACATTCAGTTAATTTACATTGATGAAATCTTTATAAAAATCGAAAAAAATTTTAAACAACAAATATCTAAAATACGTAATAATCTTAAAATTGAAAAATCGTGTTAAAAATTATATTTTAAATCAAATTTATTTTATTTAATTTTAACGTATTACAAAATTACGTGAAATATTATAAAAATTTATGAAAATTCTGTATCTATTTAGGTAAATGCAAGGTATAGCAAGTAATATTTTTTTGTAAAAGTACACATATTAAAAAGCTAGATTGATATTAATAAAATAATCATGATATCGATCTTAATATCGTAATATTACAATGTTATAACATTAATATCACTAAATGAAAATAAAGATCGATATTCATCCAATCTTCAGTAAACAAATGAAATATTCAATCTTATGATCCTAGTTTAAATCTTAGTACATTAAAAAGTTACGGTTGTTTTATAAATCTTGAATTTTTCAAATAAAAAAATATTCCATATCGCATAAGAAAATACTAAACTTAACTTTATCATAAATGTAAACTTTGGAACTTTCACTAATATTGTAAAACGGCTAACTTTAATTAAATGAGTAGAATAATGTCGATCTATCTTCAAATATATCACTAGTAATTTTAGGAATTAAAGATGGATATACATGAAATCCCCCAAATCC